CAGGCATCCTCAGGGTGAGGATTGTGCAATCATCCAATAGAACCCAGCCAAGGAAGTTGAACAGTCAGCTGGACTCTCCAAGAAGGTTTTCTCTCTGAGCCTCCCATGACTGAACTTCTGGTTTATCTTTTTCATTGCAGGTGTGTTTGTAACACAGGGAAATCAATGGTATCACCTGTTGGAAATGGTTTACATTTACATGTTGCAAATATCTAGTTGCCCTCAAAGACACAATGATTTTACTCATGGGCTGTGTACTGAATAATTTTATGTCAACTTGACACAATTTAGAGTCATTTGGGAAGAGAGACTCTCAACTGAGAAAATACCTCCATCAGATAGATTGGCCTGTGTGCGAGACTCTGATACATTTCTTGATTAATGATTGATGTGGGAGAGTCCAGACCACTGTGGGCAGTGTCACTCCAGGACAGGTGGTTCTGGGAGTGTATAAAAAGGAAGACGGGGACCAAAACAGTAAGCAGTACTCCTCCTTGGTCTGTTTCAATTCTTACCTCCAAATTCCTACCTTTAGCTCCTGCCCTGACTTCCAGTCATGATGGACAGCGACTGGGACATGTAAGTGAAATGAACTCTTCCCTCTTCATGTTGTTCTTGGTCATGGTGCTTTATCACAATAGAAACCCCAAGACAAGCTGTTCTGATGTTTTCTGCCCTCCCTGTCACAGTTAGGGGAACAGCCCATCATCATACAAGAAGATTTAGAAGACAGTTCAATGAAAACATGCTTGACTCTGAAGTGGCAGAGGGAGAGGCTGGGCATTCCTACTTCTTGGTAAGCTCAAACAACATGCGACAACTCACCGACATAAACTACATGAAAACAGGTTAACAGCAGAAGCACCACCAAAGACCACTGAATCTCAAGACACTGGCATAGAGACCAGCCAGTGGGAAATGCAGGGAGAAAAAAATTACAAAAGATTATCATGTTTGTGGCCACCTTGGACAATCTAATGAAGATATGATTGGAGAAAATTCACAAAGAGAGAAAAATAACAGAAAAACCATTTGAGATTTTTTCCCAAAGTAAGTAAGTAAAACTGTAAATCTACATACCCAGCTTCAAGCACGTAAATAAATTTGGACAGCATAATCAAATTATCTAAACCAGTAATATAAAGGAGAGATGACAGAAAATGACAGGCTATAGAGAGAGCAATGAAGAGAAGTCTGACAGTCAATTTTTCATCAGAAATAATGAAGGAGGAAACACTGAATCAAGGATGTTAAAATAACAAAACTAACAAAATGGAGAACCAACAACACACAAACACAAAAACCTAGGACTCCCATAACGGTGGGAGAACAGGCCAACTCCTGAAAGTTGTCCTCTGACCTGGAAAGTCTACTATGTTACATGTGGATGTGCACACACACACACACACACACACACACACACACACATATTTTTTAAGTAATCATTATTTGCAGCTACACAAACTGGAAGTTTAAAATGGAGATGTCAGTAGCATTGTGTGGTCCCTCTGAGGTCCTGGGTGGGATCCTTTTGTGTCTCTTCCAGCTGCATCATTCTAACCCATGATGATATGGCATTATTTCACTCTTTCTCTCCACTGCTTATAAGTTTACTGATCACCTAGGATTTTGATGATTTGACTCCAGTACCACGTTCTGGTAAGTGATACTATTTACAAAGACAATCTGGATTTCCCACACAAATGAGTTTCAGGGTCCTACACATGTATAACCATGATGTACACAGCCCTGGTGTTCTGTGTGTTTATTATGGTGGTGTCTGCTGAGATCTTTGAATCTATACATGCATACTTCATCCTATTGGAGGAATATCTATGATTATTTTTCCTTTCTGTCCTCCTTCTTTCCTTCTAGGACTCAAATTTGTGTATTGCAGGTCTCCATGGCTTTGTTTGTATTTCTGGCATTATTCTCATTGAATAATTTTATAAATCTAAGTGTCTGGATTCTTCCCCTTTACTCCCTTGTTCTGCTAATAACTCAATCCATTCATGGCCTGTTTTTCTAGACAGTGTTATTTTCACTGAATAATAGCAACTCAGTAGTGTCTACACAAATTCCTATCTTGTAAGTCCAATAAATATTCTACACACACACACACACACACACACACATACACACACACACACCTATTGGTTCTCTTTTTCTAAAGAATCCTGTTTAACACACTTTATAAACCCTGATTTTGTATATATCCTTTAATTAAACTTCAAGGTAATCTACAAACTATGGACTCTACATGTATTCTAGCTAAGGGCAAGATTTACTTCTGCAGAATGTCTATCTCTTTGTGTGTGTTATCTTTCCATAGGCATGTCCCTGCTACCTCCTCAAGCACAGGTATAAAGCTACTCTAAATTCCCAGTTGCTCCCATCCATGCAAGGTCATCGTGGAGCTGCTCTCCACTACTTGACTGCCTTCTCTTTAACAATCTACATATACGTTTGTTTGATGCAGGTTGTGTAATTTTGGACTATACCCTAGATTTGAGAAACATTATGTTGTAGGTGCTCTGGATTCCCTTTAAGTTCTTTAAAGACAATAGAAAATTTGTTATTGTTATTTTATCAGGCAAGTAATTACATTGAGCTTAAAAGTTCAGTGTAATTATCTTGCTCTTAGTTGGGAGATATGCATGGAGTCCATGTATTGGTTTGTAGTAGCTTAAAACTTACTGTGTATACAAAATCAGGGTTTCCCACATGTGTTAGGCAGAATTCTCCATATAAGCAGAAACAATAGAATATGTATGAGTGTTTGTGTGTCTGTCTGTTTGTTTGTGTGCAAGTGCATGTATGTAGACTATGTATTGGGTTGACTTACACAATAGGGGCTGTGTTGTTCAACAGTGGCCAACTGCATATGGAAAAGGCTAAGAATATGGTGGCTGCTGAGTCCAAAGTTTGCTGATGAAGTCCTGGAAGATTCCTAAAGTGACACTTGTATATAGTTCACATTAGAAGGCTGAAGAACCTTCAGTCTGACACTGACTGAGGAGGACAGTGGCAGAAATAGAAGCACTCACTCATGAAGGTGTAGAGGCAGTTGAACAATGTGACTTTTTCCTTAGACCTCTGCCTATCTGGACCATCAGGAGAAAGGTTCTTCCCTACCTAAGGGCTGTCTTTTCCCCTCCATGGAACCTCTCTAGAAATGCCTTCATAGACACACTTGGAGATACACCTCCTAAGTTGTTCCAAATTCCACCCAGTTCACAAGCCCATTTAACCACCACTCAAGTGACTTTTGGCTCTCTGTTTATAAGATTTCTCGCTTGCTTTCTAGTGGGTTCAGTCCATAGTTATAGGTCTATGGATTTTCTACTGGATTCCAGTCAGCAAAGGAAGCAGATGTTGGCATGCCATTCCGATTAAAGCCAGGCAGGGGCACTCTTTACCCTACATTTCTTCCTAGTGTACTTTAGAATATTCCTTTTGTGTTGTTGTTTGGTTTTGCTTTCAGAACATTTCACCCTTTCCTCCAAAGCATGCAGTTGCCATGCCCAGGAAGTTCAGATATGACAGGAGCCTGCTCAGCCATCCAGTATACAGTAAACAAACATATTGGGTATATGCTGGAAAGCAAGACAATTTGCTGTATAATAAAGAGTGAGGGTAAAAGTAAGAGACCATTTTCCACAATGAAATGTGTGTTGGTCTCCCATAGAGCTCAAGGGTAAACAAGCTTGGCTGGTAGACACACTCTCACCTCACCACCATCTCCCCTCTCTGAAGACAAAGTTCTATGGCTCACATAGCTGCAAGGGATTTCAAGATATGCCACCATTCCTAGAAGGAGGCTATGCATCCATCTAAGACTGTTCACAGTTACTTTTCCCATTGCCATGACAAGATACCTGACACGAGCAACCTAGTAAAGAAACAATTCATCTTGGCTCACAGTTGAAGATCTATAGTTCATCTTGGTGGGAAGGTAGGGGTGAGGTCACATTGCACCTGCAGCCAGGAAGCAGAGGCCAATGATGTTGGCACACAGCTCACTTTCCCCCTTCCTTCCAGCCCAGGACCCCATTCCGTGGAACAATACCACCATTGCTAAAAGTGGGTCTTCTTGCTTCAAATAACTCTCCCACAGATATGCCCAGAGATCTGTATCTAAGTGATTCTAGATTCTAGCTATTCCAGTAGGCAAGTGGCTGCATACGAATGTGGGGGAGCAAACTGTGGTGAGGTATGATCTAGGTATTATATGAAACCTATGAATACTAGGTCCCAACTAGTCTGTGTATCCCTAGTCAGCAAAGACCTTCTCCCTCAGCACAACTACACCGGTCCTGCTGTTCGCCTCTCTGTGATTCCTCCTGGTTGCTACCTGATCCCAGCAGGGGCAGAAGGAGAAAGAAAACATATTCACTTTACAGTCTTCATGTTCTTTTTGCCAGAGCCAGCCAGCCTGGTGCATCTAAGTGTCTGAGAAATTCAGACATGAACACTGTGGTCTTAGCACCAATGTCCTGAGCTGAACTTTCATTACTGATAACGAAAGAAGAAATCTTGTTATAAGAACACATCCCACCTTGCAGTGAGCAGAGCCAAGTATCTTGGCATTGGTAGGGGCCACTGAGTTTTTTTTTCTTTTTTGGTTTTTACGAGACAGGGTTTCTCTGTATTGTTTTGGAGGCTATCGGTCCAGCCCAGCCTAAAACTCACAGAGATCTGCCTGCCTCTGCCTCCCGAGTGCTGGGGTTAAAGGCATGCGCCACCACCGCCAGCTAGGGGCCACTGAGTTTTCTAGTGCAAATCATCTACCTATCAGCTGTATAGGGAATGGAACTTTTAAAATCCCTTTGATATTTATAATGTGGAAACGATGTTTGAAACAAACATTCCCCACCAAAGCCCATTGACCACAGATGCCAAACTCCACCTTCTCATGTACATAAGAACCATACACTATGGAAAGATAAGCCTATGGGGGAGATGTTCAGACAAATATATCACACAGCCATAATGACAGATTTGGGTTAGGAAAACCACAGCAAGTTTATTTCCTGGCAGGTTTCATGAAGAGAGCACTAAGACTTCCTTCTGGGTGTCTCTGGCACAATCATCTCAGAAAGGCTTGAACAAAACCCTTTATGGAAGTAACTGTCATAGTACAGAGAGCCCTAATGTCATTTATCAGCTTTAAAAATATGTTCTACTGAAGCCAACAACATATTCATATAAATAGACATAAGTTATACATACATAAGATGTACATAGTTCCAAAAGTGAAAAAAATACTGATATGTTAATACTAAATCTTATTATAATTTAAGATTAGGGTAAACCTGATAAGGCTTTACATGGACTTGGGGATGGAGTCTTCCTAAGAAATGGAGTGTGGGATCAAAATGAGAGGAATTGGAATGTTAAATAATAATCTGATTCAACCACCTACTTATGACTAAAAATTACTTAATTCCTTTTATTGTTTAATTGTTTGTTCATATATGTATATATTTTTTAATTTTTATGGTACTGGGAATGGAACCCGGGAATAGACTATTCAGTCCAATGTTCTACAGAGTTTTACTTCCAGTCCTCTTCATACATTTTAATCTTGAGACAAGTTCTCACTACATTGCTCAGGCTAGCCCTGAACATATGCTGTTACCCAGGAAGGCCTTGAACATTCAATTTTCCTTTCTCAGCCTCCCAAGTAACTAGTATAGAGGGTTTTTGCTCCCGGGCCCACTAACTGTCTGTCCCCTCTCAGATCAAACTGTTAACACGATACGATTGCCAAGGCTACGGAACCACCAGGATTCTCTTCCACAGCTCATTTCTCTATCCAAAGAGTCCTTCAAGCTGACTTCACATGCAATCAGAAGACATTCAAAGTGCAAGATAATTTACTCTGAAATCTCTTTCCAGAATTCATGGTGTTTATTAAGATAAATTAAATTTGTGGAATGGAAACAGACAGCAAATGCTGCATTTAGCTCCTTGGTCTCAGTTTGGGTTAGTGACTCACAGCCCCTACAGCGAGCAAACACACGATGTAAACATCAATATATATAAACAAATCAGTGTGCCGGGAAAGTAAAACACATCCTGCTTTTTCAGAGGAGTGAAATGGAATGCAGGCGAGCACAGGAGAGCAGCAGGGTTGGTATGCTGTGTCTATGCAGGTCTGAGGTGCTCATCCAGGGAACTGTCCAAGGTGTTCTCTTAGCCTCTGAATCAAGATCGATGGTTTCTTTGCAAGTGTCCCTACTCCTAAATGGCTCCAAGGGGACATCCTGGGACAGCCAGGCTCTGTGACAAATAGGGGTGAAAGGAGATAAGGCTAGACCGTCACAACTGGTTAATGTGGGCCACATCTGACATCCTCAGCTTTCAGGTGCAGGAAGACCTCTGTAGGCTCACCACTGGATCAGAAGATCTTTCTAGGTGCTCACAGTGTTAAAATATATCCTAAGAAGATGGTAGATGGCCAGGCAGAAAATAATCAGCAACTGCTGGCTGGTTCTGTCAGTCAGGAATAAAGCAAAACGCCCATTCTCCAGTTTTCCCCCTCAGTAAGCTCGCGCCACCTGAATCTAAGAAGTGGTGTGATGAGTGCTGGGTTTAGGTGCATTACACAACTTCTCTTTTGATGTAATGAGGTACGACATGGCCAGAGGACCTACAGTTAATGACCGGTACTCTGGATCAGCTTCAAAACTTTCTGTAGCACAGTCTCTCTTGAGGGGCTGGCATCAACCAGGTGGCAACTCGGGTTCTCCATACGCTGGTAGGTCATTTCCACCCTGGAGACAGAGAGAGGGGGGAAAGTCAGTGTCCCTCCTACCCAGTTCATCCCAGAAAAGCGATTGTCTTACTTTTCACTTTGGCTTGTTACCTCGTTACTAATTGTGACTTGTTACCTTGTTACTAACTGCAGCTTGTTACCCTGTTACTAATTGTGACTTGTTACCTTGTTACTAACTGCAGCTTGTTACCTTGTTACTAATTGTGGCTTGCTTCTTTGTTACTAACTGCAGCTTGTTACCTTGTTACTATGTTACCTTGTCACGAACTCACCCTGGTGGCCATCACTGCCCCTCTACAGAATCAGATCAGTGAAGCTGTTCAATGAAGGATGAGTCAGCCACATGCATCATGACTGACAACCTATTACCAGCCAATCGTGCATCCTGGTACTTTCTTCTCAGTTTATACTCAGAGTTAACTGGGAGGGATCATCCTAATTCTCATGGCAGAGAAGGCAGCTGAGGCCCACTTTGCATCCCCAAAGATTGCCCTAGAGTCAGAATCCCACGCCCAGTTGCCATGAGTCTCTAAAGAGATTTTGAACTTTGGACTTTTAAACAGTGCTGAGACTGTGATAGACTATGGGAGTTTTAAAGTTGAACTGAATGCATTTTTTTTTCATTGTGATATGGCTACAAGCCTATGGGGGCCAGGGAATGGAATGTAGTGGATTGAATAAGAATGGTTCCATAGGCTCATAGATTCAAATGCTTAGTAACCAGGAAGTGGCACTACTTAAAAGGATTAGGAGGGTGTGATTGGATTGGAGAAAGCATGCCCCTGGGGGTATGCTTGAGCTGTCAGAATCCCAAGCTAGGCCCACTGCCTTTCTCTTCCTGTACCTATGAATGTAGATATAGAAGTCTTGGCTCTCCAGCACCATCTCTGCCTGTTGCTGCCATGCTTCCCGACATGATGATAATGGACGAAAGCTTTGAAACTGCAAGCCAGCCCCCAACCAAATGTTTTCTCTTATAAGAAAGTGTTGCCTTGTAAATAAATGGTGTCTCTTCACAGCAATAGAACACTGACTAAGACAGATGCTGAATGTCAAACCCAGGTTTGTACAGCAAGCACATCGCTGACAGAGTGTGTGCCCAGTCCTGAAACTGGGTTTTATTCAAAGTCCTACCATTTTTGACACAGAAACCCCAATTGGCCATGCGGAAACCATATGGTAACCAACATTGTGACAGAGACTGGGTGGCTTAGGGGACATTGCCTCTTGTACTTGAAGCCCAGGAACTATGTGTGTCCTTTTACCCTGCATTCTAAAGGAGTTCTGATCCCTGCTGAGAGACTTTAGGGGTGGCCGCCATTCACATTACCCCAGAACACATACTTCTGACGAAACACATTATTGGCCTCGAGTTCAGCCTCTTCTTTAGTTTTCTCTAGGCCCCGGCCCTGCAGTCTCCTCACTCTCTCTTCAGGATTCACTGTGAGCAGCAGGACCAGGTCAGGCTTCAGCAGGTCTCTTGGCCACTGGTACACAGGGTGTTGGGCAGGAGGTAGATGCTGTGGGCCTCCACTCACCTCGGTGGCTATGGCATAGGTTGCTGTGCTATGCCAGTACCTGAGGGGAAAAGGCAGCAATGAGCTCTCATCTTTGGAAGAAGACAGGATACCATTTGAGAACATCAAACCAGGCTGTCTCGGCTGAAGTCTTACCAGCATCATACAAATGAAATACATTTGGATTTATTTTTTTAATGTGCAAAACACAAAAATCAGAGTCAAAAACAGTAGTAACAGGTGAGCTAGTCATGAAATCATATATCCAATTAAAACCGTCATATGCCATAAGAACAGGTGTCAAACCTTTCTGGTCCTTCAGTACACTAACGTCTGGGCAGCCATGAGGTAGGGATGGCAGGTTAACCCAGTAGTGCCTTTGTGCTGTGTCCTGAACTAGTGAAATCTGGCAAGCCTGGGCCATTTCTCCCAGTACCAAACTCTAACTGCCCATGAAATCCATGTTCATGGAATGGAGGCTAGAACACTATACTCCTCCTCCCTTCACAGAAATCTAGATGTCTAACTGTGTGGTGGTAATTATGCAATGAAGAGATCAAGCTAGACAGCTGTAGGAAAGACAGCCATGACCATAAACAGAAAAGAACCCAGCACAGTTTCTAGAAGCACAACAGCTGTCCACCACCTACAGAAAAGGATTCTGTCTCCTTGTGAGGCACAGAACTTCCTCCCAACTTGGACCACACACCATCTCTCCTAACAAGGGTAATAACCTCAACTAGCAAAAGTCCATCCCCTGCCTTCAGTTCTGCTGCCATAATGGGCCCATATGGAATCCATGTTCCTCCTCTGACTCCTCATACCCTGGAGGAGATACTACCAAGAAACTTCTCACTGGGGACCACACCTATTGTCTCAGGTGTGGAATCCTGTCTCCGCCATGGACAATGTATTCCCTGAGTGGGAATGCTTCTTAATCCCTACTGTATTCTCAAACATGAAAACTACAAAACCAGAACATATTAGGTATGCAGTAAGCAAATGCTCCTTACATCTATTAATGAATGAGATTTTTTAAAGCATGCATTAAGTAATGTTTCTTATGGCTCTTGGTGATCACATGCATGCATGTGTCAATGAATGATATTTGCTAACATAAGTTTGCGATATTACTAAAACAGGGCCTCAACTCGGTGTGTCCCAGAAAATCCAAGTCCAGCCACTGACACCAAAACCAATTGTGACCAGGAGGAAAAGGGTTACCATCACGGCAGTCACATGAGGAAGACAGACGGTACCTGTCTTCTTAGTCTTGTCCTTGGGGTCACTGATGTGAGCACCAAGATTAAGTAGGGAAAGGGGTAAACATGATAGGAGACAAGATAAGCACATAGCTGGTCAGGCTTGCTCTAGGTGTGACTGGGCTGATCATAAACTCAGGACCAGTCCAGAGGGGCGCAGTCCCCATGAAAATGTTGTTGTTGACTGGTGGGAAGACTCAACCCTTGTTGGGAGATGTTCATCCATGACACAGACAGTATCCTGGAATCAAGGGTGACCACAGGAGAGAAAGACTCAGATCAAAGAAGAACAAGGTGCCAAGCACTATCCTTTTCTTTTCTTCCTCCCTTCCTTTCTTCCTCTTTGTTTCTTTTAAGTTACCCACCAGGCATTAATGGGCATTTGGGGACCTCTGCAGACCCAAATGCAAAGTGTTGTTGGTGAAGGCCTTTGTTGCAATCAGATACTTGCCCGGTGCAGGCAGCATTCTAATGTAAAGTGAACCAATGTAAAGCTTTGTAGTCAACATCAAAGGAGAATCACCTACAGCAATACGTAAACCGATGATCCCAGGAAGAAGAAGAAGACCATTCCTAGGTTTGAAGATTCTCCAAGCCTGGCTGACAGCTTAGACTGTGTGACCATAGCTACTCCTCAATTCTTTAATTTTCAATAGTTTTTGAACTTTTCGTCAGAGGGCAAAGGACACAGTGGGGACCACATGACAGGTCCACTGCGCTAGCCAGGGGGTTTCCGTTGATTATGATAATAAGAGGGACGGTGCCTGTTAGTTATGACACAACCTTTTTGGACCCGTGCTCCTTATTAGTTAATTGCAGAGACCATCTGATGCCAACCTAACCAAGGCACTATTTCAGATATTAGTATAAAATGTCATGTCAGGATGTGAAGAAGGTAGCTAATAATTCAGTATTTCCTTTGTAATCATAATGTATGTTCACAATTGAGCACCTGAATATAAATGCAGAGAGGTGAGAGAGAGAGAGAGAGAGAGAGAGAGAGAGAGAGAGAGACAGAGAGAGAGACAGAGAGAGAGACAGAGAGACAGAGAGACAGAGAGAGGAGATTGAGAGAGAATCGCGCGTCACAGACAAGGCATCTTGTTACCCACCTGTCTACAATAACAGGGGACTTGGCTGATTCTTTGGCTATTTCAGAAGCCACAAGATAATTGCCCAAAGAGTAAAATGCCCTTCGAATGATAGTAGGTTCCTCATCAAAGATTTTCCTCCACCGGCCAATGCAGGGGGGTGGTGACTGTAAGAGGACAGCATTGAGAGACTGTGACACTGACTGGGTCACGGTGCTTTTACCTGAAGGATGGAAACAAAATAGAACACTTCTTAGCTGAAGACCCCATGGTCCTCCCAAAGGTTAGCACTATCCTATTAACCAAGGAAGAGCAAAGGTCTTTAATCTGTAATTCAACACAAGCGATTAAATAATCCCCTGGGTTCTATAGGATAGTGGGCTGAACAAAGCCTTGAAGAGCAAGCCACCAAGCAGCACCCCTCCATGGCTTCTGCTTCAGCTCCTGACTCCAGGTTCCTACTTGGGCTCCTACCCTGACTTTGCTGCATGATGAGCTAAAGGCTGTCAGGTGAAACAATCCTTTTCCTCCCTGAGGTGCTTTTGGTCATGGTTGTTTATAAAGCAACGGACACCTAAGATGCCCTCTCCTTTCCCTACCCCACTTTGGGGCCACTTCTCATTCCGCTTCCATTTCTATTCATTCCTCTTCGTGATCCACCCGCTCCAGCTCCTCTCCACTTCTTCCCAGCTCCTCCCCACCCGCTCCAGCTCCTCTCCACTTCCCAGCTTCTCCCCACCCACTCCAGCTCCTCTCCACTTCTTCCCAGCTCCTCCCCACCCGCTCCAGCTCCTCTCCACTTCCCAGCTTCTCTCCACCCGCTCCAGCTCCTCTCCACTTCCCAGCTTCTCTCCACCCACTCCAGCTCCTCTCCACTTCTTCCCAGCTTCTCTCCACCCGCTCCAGCTCCTCTCCACTTCCCAGCTTCTCCCCACCCGCTCCAGCTCCTCTCCACTTCTTCCCAGCTTCTCCCCACCCGCTCCAGCTCCTCTCCACTTCTTCCCAGCTTCTCCCCACCCGCTCCAGCTCCTCTCCACTTCTTCCCAGCTTCTCCCCACCCGCTCCAGCTCCTCTCCACTTTCCAGCTCCTCCCCACCCGCTCCAGCTCCTCTCCACTTCCCAGCTTCTCCCCACCCGCTCCAGCTCCTCTCCACTTCTTCCCAGCTCCTCCCCACCCGCTCCAGCTCCTCTCCACTTCTTCCCAGCTTCTCCCCACCCGCTCCAGCTCCTCTCCACTTTCCAGCTTCTCTCCACCTGCTCCAGCTCCTCTCCACTTCTTCCCAGCTCCTCCCCACCCGCTCCAGCTCCTCTCCACTTCCCAGCTTCTCCCCACCCGCTCCAGCTCCTCTCCACTTCTTCCCAGCTTCTCCCCACCCGCTCCAGCTCCTCTCCACTTTCCAGCTTCTCCCCACCCACTTCAGCTCCTCTCTACTTCCCAGCTTCTCCCCACCCACTCCAGTTCCTCTCCACTTCTTCCCAGCTCCTCCCCACCCGCTCCAGCTCCTCTCCACTTCTTCCCAGCTCCTCCCCACCCGCTCCAGCTCCTCTCCACTTTCCAGCTTCTCCCCACCCACTTCAGCTCCTCTCCACTTCCCAGCTTCTCCCCACCCACTCCAGCTCCTCTCCACTTCTTCCCAGCTCCTCCCCACCCGCTCCAGCTCCTCTCCACTTCCCAGCTTCTCCCCACCCACTCCAGCTCCTCTCCACTTCCCAGCTTCTCCCCACCCGCTCCAGCTCCTCTCCACTTCCCAGCTTCTCTCCACCCACTCCAGCTCCTCTCCACTTCTTCCCAGCTTCTCTCCACCCGCTCCAGCTCCTCTCCACTTCCCAGCTTCTCCCCACCCGCTCCAGCTCCTCTCCACTTCTTCCCAGCTTCTCCCCACCCGCTCCAGCTCCTCTCCACTTCTTCCCAGCTTCTCCCCACCCACTCCAGCTCCTCTCCACTTCTTCCCAGCTCCTCCCCACCCGCTCCAGCTCCTCTCCACTTCTTCCCAGCTCCTCCCCACCCGCTCCAGCTCCTCTCCACTTTCCAGCTTCTCCCCACCCACTTCAGCTCCTCTCCACTTCCCAGCTTCTCCCCACCCACTCCAGCTCCTCTCCACTTCTTCCCAGCTCCTCCCCACCCGCTCCAGCTCCTCTCCACTTCTTCCCAGCTCCTCCCCACCCGCTCCAGCTCCTCTCCACTTTCCAGCTTCTCCCCACCCGCTCCAGCTCCTCTCCACTTCCCAGCTCCTCCCCACCCGCTCCAGCTCCTCTCCACTTCTCAGCCCTGGGTGTCACACTGCTCTGAGCTGCTTCCTGGGTCTATCTCAGTTGTCCCAGCCTTTTCCTGGAACACAGGACTACAGTGATAAGGCATTATCTATTCCAGACAGATGGTCTTTGCTGACCTCACTGAGCTCCAACTGTTTACACTTAAGGTCTTTTTCCTCTATCATATTTACTACTCAGGGTACCAAGACTTCATCACCAACTGTTTATTTACTCTTCTCTTGGGCTGTTCATGCAGATCCCAACTCTGCTGACCATTTTGGTTTATGTGTTATGAGCACACTGTTAACAAACACAGCATGCTCTGAATGACCAAGTCTACATAAGAGTATTCATTGAGTCACTGAATAGTAGAGAAGGTAATAGAGTCATCCACAGTGGGGCTGGGCCCAGGATACAGCTGTGGCAACTGAAGCTTCCCTTCCTCCTCTCCTCATAGTCACTTTGTGAACTTCATACATATGTGCATAGGTGTGTTGAGGTTTAAGGCTTGTATTTTCCTTTCATCCCAAAGAATCTGGATTATCTCTCAGTACAAAAATAAATGATCATAAAAACACACTGGAAAAGAAGAAGAAGAAGAAGAAGAAGAAGAAGAAGAAGAAGAAGAAGAAGAAGAAGAAGAAGAAGAAGAAGAAGAGGAGGAGGAGGAGGAGGAGGAAGAGGAGAAAGGAAGAAGAAGAAGAGGAGGAGGAAGAGGAGGAGGAGAAAGGAGGAAGAAGAAGAAAAAGAAAAGGAAGAGGAGGAGGAGAAAAGAAGAAGAGGGGGAAGAGGAGGAGGAGAAAAGAAGAAGAGGAGGAGGAAGAGGAGGAGGAGAAGAAGAAGAAGAAGAAGAAGAAGAAGAAGAAGAAGAAGAAGAAGAAGAAGAAGAAGAAGAAGAAGAAGAAGAAGACCAAAAACCCACAGTGAACAGTTGTTGTTAAAATTCTAGCCATGGCTAAAAACCAGCCTCAACTAGGTCTTGGCATAGTAATGAGAACTGCTAAATGCCAAGTACACTGCTTCTTCACCTCATGGCTAGCAGGGGCCAGGACAGGAAGTTACAGCCATCCCACTGTGCCACTCAGTTGTGACACAAATAAAAGGACCTTTGGCATCATTAAAGATACGAGCTTGGGACCAGGGATGTGGATCTGTGGTGAAGCTCTTATATAGCATGTGAGAAATTCTAGACTCAGTCGCCAGTATTGTAACTCTACTTTGCTCTCTGCAGCTGTGATAAAGCACTGACCAAAACCATCACCAGGAAGTTCATTTCACCTTACGACTCCCAGGTCACACTCTGCTACTCGGGGAAACAGGTTAGGGACTCAAGGCAAGGAACTAAAGCAGAGACAATGGAGGGAGGCTGCTTATGGGCTTACTCCTCCTGTGTTGCTTAGACTGTTTTCTATACGGCTCAGAACCACCTGCCCCTGGGTGGCACCATCAGCAGTGGGCTGGTTCCACCCATAATCAATCATCAATCAATCAAGAAAATAAAATGTTTCCACCAACTTCCTTGCAGGGCAGTCTGGCAGAAGCATTTTTTCACTTGGGGGCTCCTGTTTGCAGATAACCCTAACTTGTGTCAAGTTGACAAAAACAAATAAACAACAATACAACCATCAAAACAAAGAGTATGGTAGCAGTCTGCACCCATCCCAGTGACACAAGAGAAGTCTAAAGATAACAGCACCCTCTACCATCAGCCTTCTCCTGGACTTGAGTGTTCTAGTTACAGTTAACGCATTTTCATCTCTGACCCCTTTGAATAGTCCAGGAAGCTTCTATCATCTCCTTTCCCTGGTTTGCTCTATCATCGCTGAGTGAGACTCCCTGACATAAGCTGTTGGTTAAAGTACTGCACCTGTACCCAGCCGTTGCTTCCATCTTCCTTGTTTTCACCACTCAGCCTGCTCATATTTGTTCTTCGAATACAGCTTGGGTATCACCTTGGCTATTCTCTGAAGGTTTCATCAGAACAGGACCCCCTGAGAGCTTCATTAACTACCCCCCCCACTGTGTTCCCTTCTCAACCTGGTATAGACTCATAGAAGGCTTTGTATGGCATTTAGTATTGTAAGAACTGCCTCCTGCAACCGTTGGGTCTGTGGCACTGACAAGAATTACAAAGCAGTGCTCACTTACCAGTGGCATCCAGTCCTTCAATGGCAATGACCTGGAACTTCCCTTTCTGGATCTCCCTTGGGCATTGGTCAACCAGGTCAAGCACTGCCTGTGCTTCAGGAATAAAGGATGTGCACTGTAGGGGGGAATAAAACTGCATAATCAGGGAAGCACTGGGGCTTCTGGGAACCTGTAGTTACTCTGCCAAAGACAGCACTGCCCAGTACTAAAGAGACTTTTTCTAGATTGAACATGATACCTGGCACATGGCTTCCTAGAATTTCAAAGCTCAGATGCACTCAAAACAAAGACTGTACGTGTCTGGGTTATACAACCTCAATTCTTCACTGACTAGGAAGGACAAGTAGTAATTCCAACCACAGCCACAAGGGAACTCCAGGCCCAGCTGGGAACAGAAGGTCCGAGGTTCGATAACCAGCTTGTAGATGTAACCAGACAAGTGCATCTACCACCACTCCCAGAATGCACGCACACCAGCCCCTCCTTACAGCCCAGAAAGCTGACAAAAGTGCTTGAAGCTGTACCAGCTTGAAACTGAGATTCTGCTGAGCATCTGAACTTTCTTAACTGTTCACCACAACCCATGCATTTAGGACCTTCATCTGAGGCCCACTCTCATCCAATGGTATGCTTACTGTGTGCATTGCAAGCTCCCAAGAGCTCTGTAAGTATTAAGGGGCCAATCGGTGTGAATGCGTCTGCTATTATCACTTTATGGATTAAGGAAACTGAGGCAGAGTGTTGGAGAAACAAGCTGAAAAGCGCATTATTGATAAATGCCAGGAATCGAATCATCTCACTGGCTGACCACGGGCTTTTCACCACCCTCTAGCCCTGTCCGACAGCTTGAAAAATGTTAACTAGCAGACCCTGTCCGCCTGCCTCAGGCACCAACACAACCTTAGGCTTTTCCCTTGAGACTGCCAGAAACCTCTTGTCCTCCACCACAAAGACATTTACAGATGATGGGGAAAACCTTGCGCAGTTGAGGGGCGGCATACCGCCCACAAACCAGTTGAATGCTTATATCTTCTAACCCACGTAATAGATCTGTGCCCCCCAAATCCCAGATTAGTAGCAAATTGTCCCCAGTTCCCAGCGGACTCTACTCCCCCTGCAGGATTTTGGGAATACATCCTAGCAAGCATTACTCAGCTAGGTGCACAGGAAATGTTGAAAGCAGCTCCGGTGTCTAACACAGAGCCGGTACAGCTTTGCCTACACCAGCCGACTCACGAATAATAATAAAAAAAAATCAGGAGGAAAGCACTTGATTGGCCAGCCAGGGGGCAGACACTCAGTTTCACCTAGCCCTAAAGGGAAGAACTCTTTCTTACCTCCTCCAGTACCGCCCGTGCTGCATCCCGGTCTTGGAAAACCGCAGAGTTGAGCAGATCAGGCAGCAATGGGTGCAGATGAGGCTCCGGAGCCGGAAGGACGCATGCGCGGTCCACCTGCACCTGCCTGTCTCCCTGCAGCTCCCACAAGCGCTGCCACAGCAAACCCTGAGAGTCCGCCTGGAACTCCGCCAACTGAGGGTGCGCCTCCTCCTGGCAGGAGCCCAGAAGCTGCAGCAAGGCGCTGCGAGTGTCCGGGTGGTCGCCAGGGTCGCGCAGCAGGAAACCATGCTGGGCTTCACCGTCCTGGTCGCCGGGACCGTAGCCCAAGAGCTTGTTCAGCTGGCAGCGCTGCAAAGGGCCCCGGCGCAGCTGCAGCAGCAGGCGCTGGTGCATCCGGGCCGCCTGCACCCGGGGCCCGCAGCCTGTGCCCGAGGCCAGTGGCACCCACAGCGCGTAGCTGCGCCCCGGGGGCCCGAGCAAGGCTGCCAGGCGTGGGTCCGTATGGCCCGCCGTGTCCCCTAGGACGAAGTGAGTCAGGGAGCAATCCGGCATTTCCACAGCGAAGCGCCGCGGCCGAACCATGGTTCCTGAGCAGGCCCGGTGCCGCTCGCACAGCCGCCGCGACAGTCGCCCAAGCCACAGTGGGGCTCGAGGACGGCTCACTAAGGCCATTGGTGTGCCGGGCCGCGTCCTCTGCCACGCCTCGGAAACGAAACTGTGGGTGACTACAGACCCAGGATCCTGAGAAACGAAAGCAAAAGCAGCTGCTGGCGGGACCTCGGGTGTGGCCGCGCTAATCCCCGCCTGGATTTCTCCGCCTCCCACCACAGCCCAGCATTTAACCGCCGCGGGCGGTTAGGAAATTCTCCGGGCCTTGGAACTCGGGTGCGTTGCCATCACCGCTCCGGTCCCCTGGCAACGCCTGCCCTTGAGAATTCCATCCTCTCCGGAGACATCAGCTTTGTCTGACTCGGTTTTGGGGTGGCAGGTGCTTCTAGCCCGATTTTTAATCTTCTCCCAGGCTACTTATTCCTGACTTGTGAGGACTGGGGGACCTGGAGACTGAGGTGCAAAGGGATATCCTCCCAGAGAAACACACACACACACACACACACACACACACACACACACACACACGCACGCACGCACGCGCACACACACACACACACACACACACACACACACAGCTCTATGGCCCACCTATGCACAGGCACCTCACTTCGGAGGCCTTCAGGTGTCTAGCGGTATCCTGACCTGTTTACCCTGTAGTATTTAGCCAGTCCTGCAACTGGTTTGGGCAGTTTTTCAGCTTTGCAAATGAAGGACTCCTCCAGTGTGCTCCTTACTCACATGGAATCCACGTGCAAACTGGGATGCACAGCCAGGTTGTCACACTGTAGCAATTAAAATCTCCTGCATTGATGGTGTCTAGTGTTTTGAAATTTCTCTCTCTCTCTCTCTCTCTCTCTCTCTCTCTCTCTCTCTCTCTCTCTCTCTCTCTCTCTCTCTCTCTCTCTCTCTCCCTGTGTGTGTGTGTGTGTACACTATGTTTTAGGAGTCTCAAGACCACCTTCACCTTGCTGTGAAGACGCATGTCTCAATGATGCTCCCAACTTAGGATTTATCCCAACACAAGGAGGGGTAAGAAGGCCAGGGTGATTGATAGAACCATCTGTAGAGTTGGGAGAGCAAGAGGATGCAATGTGCAATAGAATCTGTTGAGGGCTGTTCAAGAATCATGTCACCTCCTATGGTGAGCTTCAGGGACCTGTGCAGAGTCACCACCCAGGACACCTAACAGAGTATTCGAGTTGGGAGGTATAATTCCTGGAAGTAAATACTTTTGGTGTCACACAAAGAAACAAAATGAAAGGAACTATGTAAGACAATTAAAAAAAAGGGGGGTGCCAAGACCTAACCCTGGCTAGGAAGCACACCAAGGCAAGAAGTTACTTGGAGTTGTTTTAATGAGGGTAGTAACTGTGTCTTTTTCCCATTGACTGGTGTCCAACCTTTCCAGATTGGCTAACTTAAAAAAAAAAAAAAACAGGGCAAAGGAAATGAAGAAGAGGAGTAAAGGGTCAGCCTCTCCAGGCCATCAAGTTCTAGAAATGCAGGAGACACGGTTTTATTTGTAAAAGTTGCATAAAGCAAAAAGATGAAGATGAAATGATTTGAATCCTTTTGCATGAGTGTTTTAAAGAATTGAGAGATTTATAGAACATTGACAAACTAGCTGTCTTTGATAGAAAGCAAAATAACAACAACAAAATTTTTCTCACCCACTAAAGCCTGGACCCACAACAAGGAGCCAGGATCCTCTCAATAGATGAGGTGGAGATCACCTTTGACCTTTGTGTGATATCACAGGAACAAGGTGGTAAGGGCTGTGTATATACACAGAGGGACTGCTTGCCAAGGTTAGAACAGAAACTGCGATTCTTGGTTTCTGTGGGCACTGTTAGTGAATGGCTAGGAAGCCAGTCAAATTTTTGCATGCCAATTTAAGGTTCCAAGAAAAGTAAGCCTGGTGGCACCATCTGGTTTGGACTGAATAGTTGTTGTGCCTGTAGCAGTTTGCCCATAGGGGCACAAAGTTGAGAAACTAGACACTGAGACAATACTTCAAGAAGTCCCTTTGAATGGATGAGTGGATGAATTAGTGAATTAATGAGTAGCAGGCTTGTATTCTAAGGAAGATCTATGGCCTTCAGCTCTTAGAGAATTTGCTTTCGGTTTCCCAAGGCAGGAAAAGCAATCCTTTCTGTTTCCATTCACAACTCTGACCCATACTCAGCACTTCCTGGTGTCAGATGAAATTATTCGATGCATTCACATGTAAAAGGAAAAAAAAGGAAAGGTAAGTTCAAGACATTTAAATGTAACAATTAATACATTATAAAATGAAAAATGACTCAGGGTTTGAAGCTCTGGTTAGCTAAGCTCTAGCTAGTCAATTAATATAGGAAATAAAGATGACAACAGAAATCAGAGCTGTGAGAACGCATGACCGCACAGAGCCATAGAATGTGAAGGGCTCCTCACAGAGAGAACATGTCACATAATTACATACTAACAAGTTTGGTTGTCATGGTATAAATGAGGTCAGAAAATGAGTCAGCAAAACAGACTCAAGGTGAGTGATGCTAGTAGAATCCAGATCCCAGGTTAAGTGCAATAAAAGGGTTAAGAAGGGCTGAGCAGGAGTGTAAATACCAAGTAACAGGAGAGAGGAGTGTCTCCTAGGTAACTCCTAGTCAGGCCCTGCTGACAGCAAGATGAAACATCCAGAAGCTGTGCATTGGTCACTGTGACAGTTTGATCATGTGACAATTCAGTGACAGGTTTCCTGAAGACTATGACTTTTGCAACTCGGTGAGCAGATTCCACAGCGTGGCAAAGAGCACAGCCCCTGTTGGAGTGCTATCCCCCCAGAGTGCATGGAGCATGTTAGGAATCACAGGTACTCAGGGGTAAGATCCCTAGCTAAGGAATAATGCTGGTGGCCTTTGGCTGGTGTCACAATGTGTTTGAATTGTTTCCAGTATGAGATGCCCAAAGAGAAAAGAGCAAGCAGGGGCCTCTATGATGTCAGCCATGACCCACTGCCACATTCAGCTGTGTGCAGAAGATCCCCTCACCCACCTTGGCTTTTGCAAGCCATGACCAGGAATGGATATCAGTCCCTGAAGGCTGCTGTTCCCCTCCTAGGAAAGTACAACAGCCATACAGTCCTTTGCTACAATTCAGAGGAGGAAAACAGTGAAAGGGGGGTTTAAGGAGAGTCCTGAAAATATCTAGAATCTGAGCTATCACTGTCAGGACTGGCCTTCAAGCCATTGTGAAAGGCAAGACTGTCAATGAGGCCAAAGGTCAACTTTACAAGTTTTAGATGTCTCCACATTAAGGTCATTGGTCAGTACAAATGACTGTCATGCTACATGCAAATGCTGCATGAGTTCTAGAAGAAGTCTGGGGTTGTGCAGGTGCCCTGGGAATAAAGAACATTTGCCAAAACATCATGAGGATGTGAGTTTAGAAACTATGCAAAGCCAAGCAGGGTGGGGTATGTGTGTGTGTACACATCTATATGTGTGCATCTGTGTATGTACTTCTGCGTGTGTCTATGTGTGTGATCCCTTGTGCGTGTGTCTGTGTGTGTGCCCACGTATCTGTGTCTTCGTGTGATCCCAGTGTTCCTAAAGGAGATGGGAAGCCAAAACCAGAGAACCCCCAGAGTCTGTGGACATATTAGCCTGGAGTAAACAGTGAAACAGCAGGAGACCCTGTCTCAAACAAGGTGGAATGCAGGGCTCAACACCCAAGGCTGTCCTCTGACCTCCACAAGCACATGAATTCCCTAAATTATGCAGAAACATAATCTGCACGTCCTCGGTCTCCACTTGTGCTATAATAGGAGTTAGAAGAGGCCAAATCTGCCCTCAGAAACAGGAAGGAATGACTAGTGTGCTCCTGACACCAGGAATCGTCACTTCCTCACTTGTACTAGTTACTGCTCCCTTTGCTGTGGTCAAGTACCTGAACTGAATTAACTTAAGGGGAAAAGAATTCCTGCTGGCTCAGGGTGTGACAGGGGATGGTAGGGAAGTCGTGGAATCAGGGGCATGATGGGGCTGTCCACATTGTGTCCACAGTCAGGAGGCAGGCAGAGATGCACGCATTCTTTCTTTCCACGGTCGTCGAGTCCGGGCCTACAATTAGGGCATGGTGACACTCACACTCAGAGAGGCCGTCCCATCTTATTACTAAACTCCCTGGAAACATCTGAATATACAAATGTTTCTATCGTAAATCTAAGCCTTGTCAAGCTGACAGCGGAGATAACTATTTATATTTCATGCATACTTGATGATATTTTTATATGACAACCTCACAAGGCAATCTCAATCAGGATGCATTAAAGAAAAGGAAGACGGAGTGATGAGAGCCTGACCTAATGCCTGAAAGAATGACACAAACAAAATAAATCTTAGGCAGATAGCAAAACCTACCCCAAAGTGTGTGATTCCAACCCAGCTAGGATTGGTCCACTGGAACAGTTTTCCCCAGCTGCTGATGTCACATGCATGTGACCTCACAGAAGAGATTTCTCAACTTGTGCCAGAGATTACAGCACCTTTATTTCCTCCAGTTTCAAGGACTTGAATCAGACAACCCTGGCATCATAATTGGCTTTGTTAAACTATAGGACTGTGTTGCAGAGTTTACTTTCAGTTTCCCAGTGCAGAAAAAAAAAAAAAAAGAAACAAAGCAAAATCAGTTTCTGTTTCCATTCACAACAGTGGCTCAGTACGGGTTATGTTCTGTTCAGGAAAATTAGTATTTCCCCTCTTCCAGAAGATCTCAGGAGATGTTTGCTGAGAAGAGAGTGAAAGTCCACAGTGCAATACCTGAGCTATCACCCAGACCCCAAGCACAGTACCTCAACTATATCACCTAGTGCCTGAGCACATTAGTAGCATGACACAGCCTCTAGGTACAGTCCCACAGCAGCATCACCCAGACCAGACAGAACCACACCCAAGATTCAGCCATCAGACTTTTTCACTTTTCAAAAGAACATATATAAACAACATGCTGATAAGAGAGAGGAGGAGGAGTGAGTCTAGAACAGTCCAATTCAGGAGTCTGTTACATTTTCTAGGAAAATGTAAAAAATGGGAACTGGTATGAGACTCAAGTGGTAAAGAATTTGCCATGTAAGAATGAAGGCCTGTGTTCAGATCTCTAACATCTGTATAAAACAGGCAGGCATTGGAACATGCACCTATAGTCCTAGCAATAGGGAGGGCAAAGGCAGGCAGGTCCCCTGGAGCTTGCTGTAAAGACAACCTAGCTAAATCTGTTAGTAAGTCCTGGGGTTCTGGCTGTCTCCACCTCCCCAGCGTTGGGATTCCTGGTGGGTGATACTCCACACACCATTATTTATATAGGTTCTGGGACTCAAACTCAGGCCTGCCACTTCCGGAGGTGTTACAGCATGGCCTTTCCCCTGAGGGTAGGACATATTCACCTCATTGCTGTTTGGAAGCAAAGATTTTCTTGTTCACTAATCAGGAAAACAGTGCCGTGGTATCCAAGTCTGCGGTGACAAAGCAGAACCATTGACGTAGTGCCTTGGTAGAAAGAAGAGGGGAGTGTCACAAGACCATCACCTGGTATATCAATGTGACTCAGCCCTGCTCTCACTAACTCAAGAGGTCTTGGGAAATGCTAGGACACTTTAGACGTTTAAGATTAGCTGAAAGGGGACTTGAGTGATGCAGTTTCCACGAGTTCCTCATCCATGATAGGGTGGGACTTTGCCAAGGTACATTTCTTTGTAAGTGGCCAATACCCCCATGCTCTATAAATACAATAAACTCATTGGCTCACTAAATTGGACTTGGCTAGAATTGAACCTTGGTCCTTCATTGCTGCATAATCTGAGATGAAAAGATGTCTTTAGTTTTCATGGTCTCAGGAATGTAATGCAAGACAAGTCAAGCCCTTTACCAACAAAGCTATCTTCCCAGCCCCTGTGTTACGTTTTGTTATCCATCAGTCTGAACATGGCTCTTGGATGTATCTACATCCTGGTTACAGTGAATGGGGGCTTATAGTAATCTCTCTGACAAATGGACTTCTTACCTTAAATAAATAACCAGTATTGGCCAGCTGGACCCCAGGAAATGCTTCCTTATCTGGCTGCCACAACAAGCAATCCTGAGTACTTCCTTAGATGCATCATAGGAAGGAGATGCTGCATGGCTATGCACGTTTAACATCTGCAAATTCAAATTTGGGATAGTTAACTTCATATATATGCACAGGTATAAGACTCCACATATGCCACTGTCCCATGTATAGACTCAGTATGAAATCTGTCTGAGATTACTACCAGGGCTGCAAGTGTGGATGAATCGCCAAGGATTGTCATTGTCAGATTTGGATCATCCCCCCATCACACGGTATGCAAAATTTTCCCAAATCTGACAAACAAACCATGAGATAAGAATCACACCCCACTTCCAGATGTTTGCTAAGAGATGCTCAGCCTACAGTGTCTTTATTTACAGGAGAAAGAAGATGTCTTGGAGGCAAGGGAGGAAGAATTGGAAATGATATCTGGTACTAAGAAGGCAAAACATTCCATTTGAAGAGGCTTTAAAGAGGGTAAACCTAGAAGAATTTCAAAGCGCAGTCTTGCTTCTTAACGTGCCTCCAGCAGCATCTGTGAACCGTGCTAACTTGCAGTCATTAGCCATGGCACTGTCCTTTCCTTCTCCTGGGCAGAAGGGACAGCACGCACAAGGCTCTCTCCACTTCCCCCAAACACTAGAAGAACTAGAAACAACACAAAGAAAACAACTCAGGGAACATGGAGCTCTCAGGAAAAGATGTCAGAGGGAAGACAGAGCCATCAGGAGAGGAGAAGTCCAGAGAATGAGCTTGCCTGGAGGAAAGGCACCAGCCACAGGCTGCACAGTATGAGTGTTGGGATTTCAGAACAGTATCATGAAGGCAAAGCCTTAAAAGAAAGAGTCTAAGAAATATTTACAATGCACGTCCTCTGACAATATAAAAAGAGAAATAACTAATTCCTAAGGAATCAAGTTTTAAAATGGTTAACTTTACTTAGTGGAACTTCCCTGCCTTGAATTTTCTTTTCCTTCCTCTTTAAGAGAGCTGCCAGACACTGCCGAGGTCAGCATACATGATTTGCTACATACCAAGTTATAAGACTCTAGGTTTTTGGTGTTTTTTGTTTTCTTTCTTAGGCATGTGTGGGGTGGATAGGGAACCAAAGAGGAATCTTTAAAAATTATTAAGTATGCATAAATATTCGTTACAAGAGGCTTAACACGTATTTTTGTGTTAAAATAATAACCTGTGAGGAGGCAGCTATGTGTCTGTCTGCAAGACGCTTGTTTAGAAACTGGTGGTTGCTGGAATCTCTGCAGCGTCATCAGGACAGATGGTGTTTACGCAGGTCATAGGGGCAGCAGTGAGCCACAGAAAGGCAGCAGTTGGCCTCAATCCTGAGCTCTAGTCTTGGCTCTGGTTCAACTTTCATTTTCCGTAAACAGAAACTCTACTCAGCTGAGACTTACTCAAGGGAGGTGTTCCCTCTGCCTTGTGACAGAATGCATGGGGAGGAGGCTTGGCTGGCCTGCAGCATATAAAACCTTTCAGGCAACTGCAGGTATATGCAGATCACCATGGGGATGCTAGTGCCCACTGCTCTGGCTGCTAGGCTGGTGAGCCTGTTCCAGCAGCATCTGGACTCCCTCTGGAGCGGCCTGGCCATCCTATTCTGCCGGATGAGAATAGCACTGGGATGGATAGGTTCCGGAAGGGGACAGTCTCAGCCACAGGTCAAGGCTGAGCCCAAGGAGACTCAGGAAAAACTGAACAGTTCTCAGCCCGTGACCCCCGTTAGCGTCAACTACCACTTCACTCGTCAATGCAACTACAAATGTGGCTTCTGCTTCCACACAGCCAAGACATCCTTCGTGCTGCCCCTGGAGGAGGCCAAGCGTGGACTGCTTCTGCTCAAGCAGGCTGGTAAGTACCAGCCCAGGCAGAAGCCAGGACGCTAAGGACAGTGAGCGGGGGCTGTACACAGGATGAGGGTCAGGAGGGCTCCCTGAGAACCAGACACAGCATCACCGGGCAGGTAACAGGTGGTCTTGCATGAATGGGCAAGGAATCTTGTGGAGACAAGAAGAATCTCCAGTCCGGGAGATAGCCTGGTCAGGACCATGTAACAAACACTTGCTCCTGTGAACAGAGGTGTGTGGACAGTGGCCCCTGTTTGTCCTGGTGTTAGGAAAGTTGTGTCACTCAAAGAGTTTGCCCAGAGGAATCTGATTTCCAGAAATACTAAGTAAGGAAAGAGGAAGGGAAGACCAAAGTCCCCAGTGTGACCAGCCTGGCAGAAACTTCACCCTATTCCTTTCATGTTTCTTGTCGGAAACTTTTCTCTCCCTTAAAAAAATACTTTGTGTACCCATAGGGTTTGTGTGTGTGCATGTGTGTGTGCATGTGTGTGTGTGTGCATGTGTGTTAATCTGGTCACCTGCTTGGCACAGCAAGCCTGTGAACTTCAAAGGACAATTCAAGAGTCAGTCTATGCTTAGCCTTCAACCTTGTTTGGGACAGGATTTCTCTCTGCTAGTGTGCAGTGTTCATTGGCATTTTGAGCCTCTCAGATTCTCTTGTCTTTTCCCATCTTCAAGTAGGGAGGCTGGCATTACAAACTCTCACTGCTGTGTTCAGGTTTACTTAGGTATTGGAGACCCAAACAGAAGTTCTCAGACTTGTACATACTGACCCACCTCTCCAGCCCCACATAAACCTTAAAATGATTTTTTGATGGGCATGTCACGGGATTTTTCTCCTAAGATTTTCTGTCCCACTCCATCAATCATTCTCAGGTATGAATTCAGCAGTGAAGTTCAATGCAGCATCTTCTCCAAGCCTGCCCTCCCTTCCTCCTACCCTCCCTCCCTCTCTCCTCCCTCTCCCCTTTCTTCTCTTTCGAGAACACTGACTCGCCTAGAGATTGCCTTCTCTCTCTACTTACTCTTTAACTGAAGCAGAGTAGACATGTCTAGGAGTCAAACATGCTAACTACACTTCCAGATGACTCTACCAAGAGGCCTCCATGGAGCACAGCTGGGAAACAGAATGATTGGCCATGTGCAAACCAGCCTCCAGTCACCACCACATTGACCCCATGGGGCTCCCAACTGGATTTCTGATGCTCACAATAGACTTACCTGGTTCTGTGCTGTGACAACAAAATCATACGGTACACAGAACCAACCGCACAGTAGCATCTGACTCACTCGGCTCCAATCTGTACTGGCTCATTACACACAGTAAAGACCATGAACCTTGTTACCTCACTGGGATCTAGGTTAAGGTTTGGTCTTTCGTTATCAGGAATTCTGTAAGTTAGCCACCGTCTCTGTTTCCCTCACTGGTATCTGCTTAAAATGCAGCTTTTGGAGTCACCTGCCCACCTGTCTAAGACAGAACCGGACTCCAAGCCCCAACATCACAGCTGTGATGAGCTCACTGGCACCCCCACATCTTCTACACCTCTGTAATTGGCCTTTTTATTTTGAGCATCTCCTGGTGAATTTACAGTGCCCTTGGATCTCTGAGAGGATCTGCTGAGATGTGGAGTTGGTTTCCAACAACGGTGTCCACCCATTTGCAGATAGAAAGAGTAGAGTCACAAAATATCACAGTGGTTTTCTTCCTGCTTTAGGACTGTGAATGGAACCCACAGTTATTGGCAGTGGCATTAATATTGGAAAACAGGATGGGGTAAAAAGAGAATAATGATTGGGTTCATTTCATTAATTTTACCATAAGCAAATGTTAATTTTTGTCCTTAAAACAAAAATGGATGAGGCTGTTGAGTGTATCTTATGATGAAGAGCTTGGCTAGTATGCACAAGACCCTGGGATCTGTCCCTATTCTCTCTCTCTCTCTCTCTCTCTCTCTCTCTCTCTCTCTCTCTCTCTCTCTCTCTCTCCCTCTTTCTCTGTCTGTCTCTGTCTGTCTGAACCTCTCACTCTACACATACACACACACACACAGTTAAAAAACCAAGTAATAATATTTATTTTATGTATGTGTGTGTGCATGTGTGTTTTGGTGTCCCCAGAGGAATAGGATCCCCTGGAGGGAATCCAAGGTGGGCACTGGCAACTGGTCTCTGGTGGGCACTGGAACTGGTCTCTGGAGGGCACTGGAACTGGTCTCTGGAGGGCATGGGAACTGGTCTCTGGTGGGCACTGGAACTGAACTGATTCTGGTCCCTGAAAGAGCAGCAAATGATGGTCACTGCTGAGTTATCTCTCCAGCCCCACAAACAAAAAATAATGAAGTAGATATTTGGAAAATGTAAAAATATTGCTTTCATCCCTTACAGGTATGGAAAAGATCAATTTTTCAGGAGGGGAGCCCTTCCTGCAGGACAGGGGTGAATATGTGGGCAAGCTTGTGAGGTTCTGCAAGGAGGACCTGGCCCTGCCCTCCGTGAGCATCGTGAGCAATGGCAGCCTCATCCGTGAGAGGTGGTTCAAGGACTATGGTAAGTTTCCTGGGGCAGCATATTGGTCACCGCGACTCATACTGTTGACCCCTACATTTCCTTCCTTTCTGGGCTCCAGGCCAGAGCATGTGGGAAAATGGGAGGAAACAAAATCTAATTTAATCTTGTTTATTCTAATATCTACTAAACTGTGTGGGATGTTGTTTTTTGTTTGTTTTTGTTTTTGTTTTTTTGTTTGTTTGCTTGTTTCTGCTGAGTGCTAATAAGCAGATAACATAACAAGTCAGCACACATATCATTGCTATGACTTCCAATTCATTGCTCATGGATAACTAAGGTCTAAGCTTAGCCATTACTGAGGAAAATCAACACACTCTATAGCTATATAAATGTCTCTGTTAGAGACGGGGCATGGTAGTGAACACCTTTAACCCCAGCACTCGGGAGGCAGAGGCTGATCTCTGTGAGTCTGAGGCCAACCTGATCTATAATAGGGAGTTGTAGCTTAGCCAGGGCTATCTAGTGAGACTTTTTTTCTTTGTTAGGACTAAGCTGATTGCAAGTCTAGTCACATTAGAAGCTCATAGCACATGGGCTGGCTGAATTTGGGGGCTGTTAAGATTTTCTGAGAACCCCAATGATTGAGTTGTTCATGTTTGTAGTGTCTTTGGAACAATACATGGCACGAGGCAGCTTTTTAAAAATGTGCAGTTATGTCTACTTTCAGTTTAGAAGACAGTTAAAACCTCCTCTCAGAGTCCCCTTCTCTACCCTTGTTTTGTGACTGGAGCCATTGAAAGGGAAGGCTGGCACTTTCAGTTGGAGACACTGAGCAGATAATTTCACAGGACGCATCCACCTGCAGGGAGAGGCTGTGCTTGTGGGTGAAGGCTCTCTATGAGGTTTGGGCAGGCAAGGAGAATTCTTAGAATCAGGGGCAGTGACTCAAGGAGGAATGTTCTGGGATACTACATTAAACCAGACATTGGTGAATGGAGGCACAGGACGGAGACCACTGGGAGGTTCAAAGTGAGAGAGAAAGAAGGTAAGGGAAGCTGTGTGAACAGAAAGCAGTGGACCGTGTCCTGGAGGGTGTTCCTGGGCAGCATCTGCTCCTTATGATAGGCTCAAAATATCTGTCCCTGTGGCAAGTGTGTGCACAGGACAATTACTGCAGTGCAGTGTCAGAGACCGGCCACCCAGAAATGGTCTTGTGACCCAGCATCATCACCTCGATAGGTGAACACACAAACTGTAAAAGCCAAATGCAAGGCTCTCTTGGCAGTAAGGCAGATACCAATTACAAATGTTAATTGAATTTTATGCGAGATGGAAATTTGTCTGTCCTCAAATTATCCTGGGTGCATAAAACAGTATTCCGTGCTAACTATCCCAATTATAAAATGTCTACAAATAACTTGAAGTTGAACCTATGTGCATGGGCATGAGGAGAAGCTGGTCAGAGATCCCAAACCCCTCCAAGTCTGGGAGTTTGCTAGCAGGACTGCCAAGACTCTTTCAGTGAGGACAAATACAGAAGAAGAGGTATGCATCACTGAGTCCAATCAGGACATCTATTTCTGAGCCCATCTCTAACTGAGCCCACATGGATTTTGCTTTCTTCCTAGCAGTGAACCTCAGGCAACGTTTGAGTTGTCTCCACACAGGAGGCTCACTTCAGTCTTGGATCAGAGAGAGTCACAGAGTGCTGGTCACTCAGGCAAGCATATCTAAGAGACCAGGCACAGCCACCAGGACACCAATAATACATGCAAGCACATCCTATATGTGTCCGCACAATCCTGACACATGGCCCCATGCCTGAAACTTGCACACATCACCCACTATTGTTATACATGCCGGAGTAACAGCCATGTATGCAGGGGCTAAAATAGTACCCTACCAGAGTCAGCTCTTCTGGGAAAACACAAGCACTAAGCAAACAGACCTGCTCTGTCAAATGATTCCTCCAAAGAGCTGATGACCAGAGGGAGGGGTCATCACAGAGATACAGCTAGAGGAGGGAGGTCATCACTGAGACATAGCTAAAGGAGGGGGGGTCATCACAGTGATACAGCTGAAGGAGGAAGGGACATCGCAGAGACACAGCTAAAGGTGGAGAGGTGTCAGGATGAAGCAATGGACTCATAGGTGCTCAGTGCCCTTGTCAGTGAACCAGGCATGGTGCTCCTGGTTTTTATGTGTTTGATTTAAGCTTGTTTCCCCTTGGTTTTGTTGGAGACTATGTGTGCGGTTACCTCATCCTGGTGTGACATCCCTTTAGGAATTTACTTGAGGTTAAGTTTTGGAACACTTTGAGTTGTTTTAAATAACAGGAAATTTGCGTGCGTGTGTGTGTGTGTGTGTGTGTGTGTGTGTGTGTGTGTGTGAATTATACCTAAAATAAAAGCTAAAATTAGTCTTTCTATGATTATACAGTAGTGTCTGAAAGAAGTTTTGGAACTCTTAGCTTCTACACTGTGAAAATAATTATAAGGCAAAATAGAGAAGTTTGGAAATTCTCAACATCCAGGAGATCTCAAGCTTCGTCAGCTACAAGGAACATCTCAGTCCTAAACATACTCAGTCTTCTTAGGCAGGGGAAGGCAGGGAGCAGGGAAGGAAGAGGGTGTCAGAGGAAACACAGAGCAAAAACTGAAGCTATACCAACACCAAGATATGTTTCAGTATTTTATAGGTCTTTAAATGGCTCACTATCTGAACTCTTAATGCATGGCCTTGCAGGGTGGGGCCTGTTTGTTCCGTGGTTCCTGTGCCCAGCTCCCCTTTATCTGGGTATTCTCATCCCCTACATCATTGTACCTGATGTAGCACAGAGTGCCCGCAAATATTTACACAGTGAATAAAATGGAAAAGGCAGGTCAACAGGAAGCTCATGAGCCTGGCAAAATTACCAGATATCTATGGCACAATTCTGTCTGTGTGCTGGACAAAGCAAGCCTATAACTGTCCATATTTAATAGAAATAGACTTCATAGTTTATATAATCTCTATGACATAACTAGGGGAAACCCTTACTAAAATGTGCTAATGCATATTTATGCATATGCATATATGCAGAGTTTAAATGTGCTCACATTAAGTAGCTCTGTGAGTTATGTGTGTATGTGTTTTAATGATAATATACACACCAAGTGTAATTCACATCTCTGATTTTCACCAGTTCGAGACAGGAAAATCAGGAAATTCTTTAAAATGATGCACTTTACCATAAAGAGATGTAAATTAATTCGAGGGTTAAGGGAACATATTACTACTATTATTATTATTGTTTTCCTGCAGGTGACTATTTGGATATTCTTGCTATCTCCTGTGACAGCTTCAATGAGGAAGTCAATGTTCTCATTGGCCGAGGTCAAGGGAAAAAGAACCATGTGGAAAACCTCCAAAAGCTGAGAAAGTGGTGTAGAGACTACAAGGTAGCTTTCAAGATCAATTCTGTCATTAATCGCTTCAACGTTGACGAAGACATGAATGAACACATCACGGCTCTGAGCCCTGTCCGCTGGAAGGTAAAGTCACATTGGAGCACGTTTGACTTTAATCCCTTGGTTTGGTAACACTGAAAACTGCAACACTGGGGACTCTGGAGCTTTCTAGCCTGGACCCTGACTCTTACCTCTATTAAGTTTACATCCTCACTGTTCTTTGTTTCGTGTCTGTTTCGAAAATCTTGAAGTGGTTCTCTTGAGGAATTTTCTGAGAGTAAATGTCAAGGCCATGCTGGGTGCTTGGAGATACTTCAAAGAATAGATTATCAAGAAAACATTTCTTCCCACTCCTGTCTTGTATATAGATGGGGCTAGACGCTCTTCATAAATTCCGATGCTCTTGAGTTCACACTGAATTATTTATTACAGGGGAAGTCTACAGGACAATGTCATCCTTTATTCCAGAATGCATTTCTTAGGGATGGCCAGAGAGCAGCCACTGGAAGTCCCAGGCTCACAAGAATACAAGCCAATCCATCAGAGATAGGACCCACCACGACAGGGGAAATTCACTACAAATTCAAGTTTTCTACCTCTGCCTGCTCAGAACTCCCCACTGTGGTTACTTAGAAAGCAGATTCTTGGACTTTTTCATTAATCCATTGACGTCCCCTAAGGGCAGGCCTGGTTTGAGAGGGTTGACGTGAGCTTGCATTTTTAACAAGTCACATGGCTACCCTTGTGTAGTTCCTTTGAACCTGTGCTTGGAGACAGAGAAGAGCCACTTGAGGATAAGATTTGGTAACTGAGTTTTGGAAAGGACTAGAACACGGAGGGTGCATGTTTCATGATACTTGTGTGAGGAGAACTTGGGAAGGTGGGGCACACCAACCCTAACTGCAAAACATCATGGAAGAAGTTGCATTTGGTTGTGTTTTGAAAGCAGGAAAGAATTTCCACAGGTGGGCCTGACCCAGGAAAGGTCTAAGCTAGGCCAGAGTCATGCTTACCTAAGAAAAGTTGTCATTTCAAGGTCACCGTGGATCTTCTTCAGATGCCAAGTGAGCCAAGACAGTGGGGGATGAAGATAGGGCATATTTTTTTTCCGTTGACCGCACTGTTTGGAAATAGGTTAATAGGAAGCTAAAAACACTATATACTCTAAAGAATTTTCCATACACTAGATTATCAAAATTGAATGTCAGTGACACCTTCAGGCACAGAATACATGGAAAACATCTCAAGAAAGATGAATGGTAGAAAGAGTCAGGACAAAGACAGAGACCTCGAATAGAGGCGCTCAGAGACCTAAGACTTGCCCCTCCGGTCACCTTCCAAGCTGCTCCTCTTGTCTCTCTCTTACCATGGTGCTACATTGACTCATGCTGCCCCTTACTAGACTCCCTTCACGCTCTTATTCTAAAATTCCTCTACACATTTTTCCCTCCTTGCTTTGGAGCCTTCTTCTCTTATGGCCTTTCCTTACCTTCCTCTGGCTTCCTGGCAAAGTCATTTCAAGATTCTGACTCTCAGAGGTAAGGGTCAGTTCCTGCTTCTTTGAAACCTCTGATATCTGTGAGCTCTTGACCAACAAGCAATGCCCCGGAGGGGAAGCATCTGTACTTCGTTAGCTCCATCACTCGTGGCTTGGCTTGGAGTCTCACATTCTAAGTCCTCATAGACTTAGCAGTGACTGGCAATTGTAGTCCAAGATCGCTAGTCCTGAACTGCAGAGGGTCCATTCCCTGCAGGTTTGGAGTGAATGGTTAGTGTAAGGCTCTTTGTCTAACAGATGCTTTATCCTCTTCCAGGTCTTCCAGTGCCTCCTAATTGAGGGTGAAAACTCTGGAGAAGATGCCCTGAGGGAAGCAGAAAGATTTCTTATAAGCAATGAAGAATTTGAAGCATTCCTAGAACGTCACAAAGAGGTGTCCTGTTTGGTGCCCGAATCTAACCAGAAGGTTGTATGCGGCAGAAGTGCCATGGTCACTGCCACATAGCTTCACTGACGCAAAGTGGGGAACGGGGTGACTCTCTCCTAAGAGCTTTGCAGTTTGCCGTCTTCTTATTGCAGACATACTGGAAGGAGAAAGGGGAGGAGGGCTATCAATCTTAGAGTCAAAGAGATGGAGGTCCACTATGGCCAGCTGTCATCTGGGGGTGGGGTTCTTCCATGGCATTGATTTTTTTCTTGTACCCAAGAATGGACTTGTCGAGGCCGCCACAGAGATGATGTGATTAGATGTATAATCACATCGATAACGCTGATATAAAACACACACACACACACACACACACACAGGATCTCTATGTGTTGGGAAGCATGTGAGTAGGGCTCACACTGAAGGAAGGTATGAATGCATCCATGTTTGTGTCAGCTTCATTCCAACTGCCCATTACAACCTCTCTAGTGATTATTTTAAAAGGTGGATAAAATGCATCGGAAATGGTTTTCCAATTCTCAGGGTCTGTATCCAAAGCTGCCAAGGAGCAGGGTTGCACTCCATTCCTTTATGATTTGATGTGTGCCTTTTGCTGCTGTTGTTTGATGGTGATGGTGGAGGTGACTTTCACAGTGTGGTACAGACACTGTGTGCTCTGCATGGCAAGAAATGTTTCTAGACACTTGGTCTAGAAATGTGTCTGACTGGGGAGACTGTCTACACAGCATTCTGGAAGCTCTGGGTTCAATACCCAGCATAGCTAAAAACAGTCATTGAAAGTTTACAATCCAGAATTCAAGAGGTGACATCAGGAGGAGCCAAAACTCAAGGACATCCTTGACCATGTAGTGAGTTTGAGGTCAGCCTAGGCTACCTGTTGCCCTATCAAGGAGGGTGGGGAGTAGGGAAGGAGGAGAGAAGGAAGGAGGGAAAAGGAAAGGAAGGAAAATGAGGAAAGAAGAAAGGAAACATGAGGGATAAAAGGAAAACAATATTGCTTACTGTCTAGCTCTTATTAGGGGAAAAGAGTATCACAACCTCCCTGCAGTAAGTAACAGCAGTGCCCAGTGCACCTGAGAGTGCAAACCTGATACAAATCAGAAATGTTATCCTCTGCAGAGAGCCTGACCTCAGCTTTGAAAACCTTGGAGATTCCTTGAAGGTTGGCCACTGGGGTGGGGACTGAGAGATGAAGAAAACAGCAGTCCTGGAAGCAGCTGGAGGGGTAGGAGAAGTCAGGCTGCTCAAAGCAGCCTTCAGGGTAAAATTCTTTTGGTCTGAAGCAGGAAAATCCAGAATGACTGGATGGACTGGACCCTGCAGACCCTCCACTGCTGTGGGCCCCTCCAAAGGCTGGCAAAGAGATGGGGAATACAAGAAGCTGAAAATCCAAGAAAAACATACACGCATAGGAGGGACAGTCAGTGGAGCATGCAAAGTAAACAATGCATGTTGCATGGAAATTAAATTTTGATTCTGTTTTCCTCTGCAGATGAAAGACTCCTACCTTATTCTGGATGAATATGTGAGTATTCCCCATGAGGATAAAATCACTGGAAAGCTAGCAGCTCAGAGATGCCAGACATGTGCACAAATGAGTACATTCTGAACACATCCATTATGCCCAGTGCCTCTCTGGTAGTTGTATTGTCAGCATGGTAGAGCCCTGGCTTCATATGCCAAGTTCTCTATCAGCTCTATCCAGGGCACTTTCCTGGACCTGGATTGGTGTTAGCTACCATGAGATGACACCCCAGATAGCCACCCATCTGCAGATGTCATAGGGATGTCACACTTAGTAAAGCCCTTCACTGTGTGGTCTGGCATGGGTTTGAGGGCGGCACTGTGGCAGTACCCTGCCCCCTGTACTCCACACTCTCTTGGATAACCCAGGGGCTGCCAACACCTCCATTGTACATGAACCTTGACAATGGAAGGAAGTCTTATTGTCCCCTCCAGACACCATCAACATCATCTCTGAAGTCATTGCTTCAGAAGGAAAACCCACCCTTATTTTGAAAAGGAAAGAGATCACACTTGTTTTCCTTTTCTTTATTGTTGTTATTTAGAACTTTGGATTTATAGCTTTGCTGATATTCCCAGTAGCAGACAGATAATTCCATTCCAGGCATTTTTAAAATGAACTATGAAAAGAACCAAGGGCTCAGTATTGACCTTGGCATTTTGAGAAATATTTTTTACAACTTTTGTGTTTTGTCATTTTCAAGATGATCGATGATAAATTGCAGCAATTTTGTTTATTGTCAAAGTGAGTTTTATGCAGCATAAGGGGGAAAGTGGTCATAGAAATACTCAGTTTATGAGTCTAAGGTAAAGAAAGAGGACAATGGAAGTTATTTTGGAGTGTAAATTGTCACGATTGGCTGGGGATTTTGAACAGCACTCTTTAGTAAACCTTGTGATCTCCACAAAGCTGGAACAAAAGTGGATGGATCAAAATTTGTTGTTGTTTTTTTCCAACTGAATCTTGGTGATTCAACACACAACTACCCGGTGCCCTATAGGAATGTTCTAAGACCTCATCCCTGTCCGCATGGTTGGGAAGGAAAGAGTCGCAGGAAGGCAAATGGATAGGCTGTGTCGGGAAACTTCTGTCCTTGGCCTGGATCTTTCCCGCCTCAGTAGCCTCCGTCTTACCCTTTCAGAGGAAGCCTATGTGAGGATTCACACCACACACACAGACACTGTTTCCCTGAGGTCACTCAGCCGAGCTTCCTCACAACACAGTCCTGTGGCTTTGTGCTTCACCGTGCCTTGGGCTACCCCAGTACACAGTGTCTAAACAAATTCAGATGTCCTCATTTAGGGGAAGTCTGTTCTTAATGTCCTCTCCACTCCAACAGATGATCGAGTTCTCAGGTAGTTAAACTCTACTGTTCATGACTCTCGGCTGCCCCTACATATATATGGTCAAGCCACCCTCTGTGTGGGTGTGAGTTGTATGAGTTGGGGATGGAGCCTGAGGATGTTAGATGCTGTCTTAGATCTCAATACACATTTGACATGGTTGGGATGTCAGAAGTCCTTTAAAATGGATACCCTCAGTAGAGTTTTACAGGGTAAACCATGCGGAAACATACTTATTTCTACCTTGTGTTTCCCAGATGCGCTTTCTGAATTGTACTGGTGGCCGGAAGGACCCTTCCAGGTCCATCCTGGATGTTGGGGTGGAAGAAGCGATAAAATTCAGTGGGTTTGATGAAAAGATGTTCCTGAAGCGTGGCGGGAAGTACGTGTGGAGCAAAGCCGACCTGAAACTGGATTGGTGAACCTGAGACTAGAAGGAGACCCTGACCAGCTGTGGAGAGGTCCACGTCCCGCTGTCCTCCACCACCCAAGGTCCCTGGTCTTTCTCCAGGTGTGAAGACCTGACTCTCTGTTGTACAGCCCCTGGCCATCTGTGGATTATCATCACTGAGAACGCAGTCTGTTTGCTTGTTGGTTCCAGTTCAGCTTAACTAAGAAAAGGGTTGTAAAACCACGCAATGATAGCTTGTAAAACAGACAACCTGCCTGCGTGTGGAGACAGAGTTCAGTTCACAGAGGAGCAAGGTGCAGCGGTCCCAAAGACCAGTGTATTTAACTTGTATTTGAATTTTTAAGGAATTATACTGTGAATCCCTCGTTTCCTTCTCTTTTTTTTTCCTTCCCTACTTGAAAGAGTGAGTTATCTTCTGCTAAATATGCCAGTTTTGCCACCAGGAAGCATCACAAAACACGTGCTCTAATTACTATTCTGATGCTTTTCTGCTTTGGAATGTTAAACTTCTGATTTGGAACTATAGGAAGAATCAAGACACATCCAAAGGGCCATGGAGGAGAATCTTACTCATCTGCCAAGAGCTAGTGGAGGGGATTATTCCAGAGCCTGATGGTGCTGCATGAAGGATGGCTGTTCCACACTGTGCCAACTCCTCCAGGGTTCCTTACAACACCAAGGTACACTTCGCCTCTTACGACATGGGCGTGAGGGTGGCATTTGTGCAGCTGCGCCCTCCCGGTCCTGAGGCTGCCCGAGTCTGTCACAATAAAGCAGGAGTTTGAGTAGAAGAAGGTCATTATTTCACTCTGAAAAGCAACAATGGCTGTGCTGGCGCATTTCATAAAAGTCGTGGGAGCGTGGGCAGGAAGGATGCGTCGGGAATACATGGATGTGGCTGGCTCGGCATAAAACACCTGTGGCCCAAGGAACTCTGAAATGCGGCTCGGTCCAGGGGGATATAAGAACCAGTTCCGCTTCTAGACCAAAAAGGCAGAAGAGACAACGTGACTGAGTAAAAATCCTCTTCCCTTGCAAGCATTGCATGAAGTTTATCAAACCAGGACAGCGTCTCACTGCCTACAAAATAATAATTTCCTGTTCAAGAGCAAAAGTTGCTGAGAGTTGTGTTTTGCCCAAGGAATTTAACACTGCTGAAATTCCACTGCTGCCGCTAGAGGGCACTGAGACGCCGGACTTCATTAAGCATCTCAGAAATTTTGCTTTAGAGTCTATTTTTAGGACTCGGTGAATTCTGGTTCTGTTCCTTCATTGTTTGCTTGTGTGTGTGTGTGTGTGTGTGTGTGTGTGTGTGTGTGTGAGTGTGTTTGGATAAGTACTAAGAATTTGGTAAGGAACTGGATTTGTGAGTATTTTTCTCACAAAAGATGTACATATACTTCAGTTAGGTCACTATAATTCAGCTGAGACACACTTTTGTTTCGTCAAAAATAGGTCAGGTGTTCTGTGTTTTCTACTTTGTTTGTGTGCTTGTTTACTTTTTTATTTTTTATTTTGCTTGAAGCTGGATGTAACTATGATGTAGCCTGGAACTCATGATCCCCTTTGCTCTAACTTCCCCAGTTCTAGGGATAACATTTGTATATCACCAGACTCCTATACTGATATTTTAAAGAGAAGATTGAATCACATTTTTTCCAGGCCGATTTTGATATTTTTTTAGTTAAGTCCTCTGTAGTCAGCTTACCTGGGAAAGCTCAGAGGACATGGACAGATGCCTGCTTGGTCAGATGACAGGAAAGCAAACTTGGAGCTGAAGACCACCTTCTGAGTTGGAGTATATTTTCCTCTAGCCTAGGGAATGTGTATGTCTCCTTTCCCCAAGGAAAAGCAACATGAAGAACGTACATTTGGGAAACGAGTCATCCTAAATGCACCCCAGCCCAGCTTCTCCTACTCCTAGCCCCTTATGCATGGGCAGGATATATTAGACTTCTATGCTTAAAATACTCAAAAATTCCCCTTTCTTAAAGGGAAGAATCATGATACTTTATCATCATACTAGAAATCAAACTTGGATTAGATCATGCTTTGGTTTAGTCATTTTTAAATCTGAATATTCATTTTGTGAAACATGCTCTTTCCTGGGAAAGTGAAGAGTTATTTAGTGGACATTTGCTAAGTGTTATAGACAGGGAGTTTGTGTCAGATGGCCGCTTGACTTAGGATGGTGATGCTTCGAAAGGGGATTTACATAAAACTTTGGAGGGTAGGGCATCCCACACTGATTTTAAAACCCCCTGGTGTCTCTTTTATATAGTGTTAAGTGATAAAATCATGAGCTGTTTTCTTGCACACTGGAAGCCAAATGGTGTTATTTGGCTAAATTATCTGAGAGAAAACTGGGCTCAGGTTTGATATGCATTGGTTTTTGGGGTCTAATTGTTTCATAGGTTAACAACCAAACAATGGAATCCAGCAGCAATAATTTAGCTCATACCTTACCTTCTTGATGAACTGATGTTGTTTAATAGGCTCTTTTAAAACAAAACAATAATCTGAGTGTGTTCAGATGAGGTTTAGTGTTGGGACATATATGTGTATGTATCCCCCTGTAGAATTACACTGTGTTTTGAAGCATTGGTTTAATGTATGGCAACATGTTTGATGTATTAAAATGTTTAGCACATGACCTAAGATTCTGTATTAGTCTCTCTTTGGTTCGTTACAGTCACGTGTACTCACTATGTACTTTTACATAGTGAGTTCACTAGAAGCCAGTTCACATTAAAACTCAACCAAGTTACAGATACTCTTGACCCAAGACAACCCACTCTTCAGCACGGTTGCATGGAGCTGAGCCCCTGGAGAAAAATGCTCCCTCCTAACATGCAAAAAAAATGTTTGGAAGCCCAGAAATAAAGACTTTGATGATCTTAGAAAGACAGCCATGCAGCTTGCCAGGGAAGGTTGTCCCCAAGCCCTTTCTGTGACCACCAGTGTGAAGGGAGCTACTGCTTGTTAGGACTTGGTCAGGAGGACAGGTACCAGAGCTAAATTCACTCTTCTGGGCTGTCTTCAAAAAACAATAGACGAACAAACAAAGCAAGCTGAGAAGCCATGGGAAGCAAGCCAGTAAGCAGCTCCTCTCCATGGCCTCTGCATCAGCTCCTCCTCCAGGTTTCTGCCCTGCTTGAGTTCCTGTCCTGACTTCCTTCAGTGATGGACTACAATGTGGAAACTTAAGCCCGATAATCTCTTTCCTCCCCAAGATGCTTTTGATCATGGTGTCTCATCACAGCAATTAAAACCCTAATAAAGACACCATGTCTGTGGGGGGAATTTTCTTCATTATTAATTGTTGTAGGTGGTACTACACCCAGGCAGATGGTCCTGGGTTTATAAGAAAGCATGAGACAGTGAACCAGCCAGCCAGCAGCCTTTCTTCTTTGTTTCTGCTTCAAACTCTTGCTTGAGTTCCTATTCTCTCAGCGAGGGACTGTGTGATCTTGAAGTGTAAGCCAAATAACACCCTCCCCCCCCAGTTTCTTTTGGTCATGGTGCTTGTCACAGCAACAGAAAACAAACTAGAATGCCTGGGCTTGGAGACTTGAACTAGAGCCTCTGAGCTCGTGCATCCAACATAGTTACCCACTGAGCCATTTTGCCACCCCAACTGTCCATATGCTTAGGAAACCAAACAATTCAAGTCTTGGAAATTTTAGAACCACAGCAGAATAGAAGATTAAATGAAATACAAACACCACTGCCACAAAATGCTTTGAACACATAGCAATCCAAAGGAAGTAAGTAGAGGACTTTCTACTCCCATAATCTCCTTGTGTGGCCGGCGCACAAGACACTGCTGCATCTGTTGCAGTATAGATGCCTAAATCAATTCTATATAATGAAGTGTATCTGCTGCATTATAAAAACTCACCCAAAACCTGGGTGGTGGAATACCATATGATGTCTTCCTGTTCTCTTTATTTTGAACCTGGAGGGTCACATACCATGGGGTAGTGCCTACTGAGAATGCCATTGGGGAATTCGGTTGTCAGGGACATAGACCTGGGGTCCTTTCCTGTGTTCCTTCCTGGCTATATTCTGCCTGGACCCCTTCCAAATTCTAATGTTTGAGATTGTAGCTTCTTGTTTTGGGCTTAAGATGGGCAGACGTGATTTGGTCACCACTATGCTTTCTTTATTCCTAAAGACACAAGTATGTACAAATGTGCTAGTTCAGACCAGACTGGGATTCAGGGATTTCTAGTTTAACCCACAGACTTCTTGGGAATCGTCCTTCCAAGGAGTAGCCAGAGACCCATTGGCTTCTTTGGAGTTCCCCTTGACTCAGCATACAGCTAAAAGGCCAATATGATGGAGTCAGACGAGGTTGATGGTTTCAGACTCTCCTCTTTGTCTCATCCAGAAGTGCAGCTCCTATGTTTACCCAAGAAAGGAGCTGCTTGCCCTAAGGGCAAGAGAGATAGAACTCAGAGGGTGAGACGTTAAAACTCTGCCACAACTAAGTCCACCTACATCGAATGTAATTTAATTATTCCTTCTGAGTTGAGAAAGCCTTTAAATTTGTCAAGCCACAGGAACCAAATTCTATCGATTACCATGGAAAAGCAGTATAACACAGAGTGAAAAGATGACTGAACCAGTCAAGAGCCTTGGGTAGCAGCACACTGATGCCACTAGCTGGCAGAGACCTCAGAACCCGCCTAAGTTACTTTGTGCCGCTTCATATGAGCGATGAAAAGCCTAGGCAGAGATCTCTCTCATTTATATTTTGGTTCTAAGTAGGTTCTACAGCATTTGGTTTTAGGACTTACACAGACCTATGGAAGGCAGGATTGATATATTTTTCTAAATAGGGTCTCATGTAGTCCAGGCTGGCCTATCACTCCCTATTTAACCATGGATGACCTTGAGGTCTTAATCCTTCTGCCCGGACCGCCCATGTGCTGCAATTACAGGCGTGTGCCAATACTTCTGGTTTATGTAGTTCTGGGCATTCATGCATGTTAGACAAGCACTCTAGCAACTGAATTACATACCCTGCCCCCACTCACTTCCTTTGACAAATATGTGTTGAATGTCTGGAACTTTCCCTGTCAGTGCTGAGAATGGCAATGAATAAGATACACCACGCCTCCATTCTGGAAGGAAACCAGAAGTAGAGAGGCTTTGTTTTCTACATCCCAACCTTTTCACTGAGTGTAATTTATTTTCCTGCCTTTGGGAGACACTTTTAATTTTGTTGTCACACTTATTCACTAAATTTTAGTTACATGAGGGCATGTTCCAGGTGCTTTCCTTGGCTTGCTGGGTAAATTGGTGTCTAAAAAGTAAAAAACATTATCGTCTTACAGTTTGGAGGTGAGTTTGTTAGACTGGGTTTTCCATACAAACAGAACCACTAGAGAAATATTCTGTACATTGTATACACATATACTATAGAATAAAGTTCGTAGGTATCTATATATCTATATCTTATAAAAGATCAAGATCTAGTGTGAACATTAGAGCTGGTTCTTGTGACAAGGAAAGCATGGATCCTAAGATCCTCTTTGGGCAAGCAAGATGCCTTAAAGCTGCTGGTGACATTCAGTCTGAGCTTACGGGTGGGCGAATCAGAATGGAGCTGTATGGATATTGGGAGATAGGTCAGAGTGATTCCTGGACTCTGAAGTTCAAAAGCCAGGATTTTCTTTATAGGAGTGCAGGAGAAGACCGAAGTCCATGCCAGCGGAGAGCAGACGGCCCGGTGCTTGTCTTCTGTTCTCTTTCAGCTTTCAGAGAGTTGGACCATGTTCCCAGGACGGGTGTACTCTCTTCACCTAAGCCGCTGGTTCCAGAGCCAGTTTCTCGAAGCACTCTCAGAGACACAGCTCTGTGGACATCCAATAGCCCAGGCAAGCTGACACACGGTTTATTATTATAGGGGCTGGATGTCTGAGCTGCAAGCACCTGCTCCAGGCTCTCCCTGTCCTCTGATAGTTTACTCACCTCATCCTTGATGCATCCTGGTTTACAGAAGGACCTCCCACCCTCGGCGCAATGTGCTAGCTAGCCCTGAGAAAGTGGGAACCGTATTCTGATTTCCCCATTTCCCAAGGGCAGCAGTCATAATGGACAGGGGACCCAGCCTACTCTGCTCTGACTGTACCTTAACCAACGCCACTGGCAGTCACCCTCTTTGCCAAATGCTCAGACTTCGAGATACGCATAGCTGGACTTTACAGAGATTTCTGCAAGGTTCACAGAGGGAGGGCACAGGTCAGCCCGCGGCTGTGTGGCTCAAGGCCTGCCACAGAGACATGGCCGCTTTACCCATGCCTTCATGAATGCCCTCCATTTGGAGGACAGTGCCTCTGTCTCGTGCACATATGGCACCACAGACAGATTTTCCTGAGATGTCAAAGCTGAGAAAGAGGAAGGCTCTGAGGTAGGCGTGGGCGTGGCTGGGAACCCCTGAGAGTAGCAGGAACCTCCTTCCCTCCTGAGCTTTGTCCCGGGGTATGCTGTTTGCTGCACCTGAAACAGTGCGCACTGTGCCTGGCTTCTGAGCGCCTTTCAGAGTGAGATTAGCAGGCGCAGATGGGGCAAGGGTGTGAGGTCACACCCCACGTCTCCAGAAACACCGAGTCCCTCTGGATCCCGGGTTTTCCCAAGGAGAAAAGACACTCAACTTTCACTTCTCTTTAGAAACAGAGAGAATCAGATTCACATAAAAGTAACAAAGATGAGGCAGGGGGGTCCTAAGTTTGAGGGAAGCCTGGGCTAGTTTGTGAGTTCCAGAGCAGCCTGGCTACAGGGTTAGACTGTCTCAGAAGAAAAAGAAAAGGAATCGAAAGAATGTGAGTCCTATACTTAGAATGTGCAATCAGAAGTTTAAACAGCTTGCATTGTCTATTTTGTTCTTTTTTATTTTCCTTTTAACTGGAAGTCACAACTTTAAACTTCCTTCAATTGTATGTGGGAGAAAGCTTCACAATGGGTTTCCATGACTTCAGCCTCTAGACCATTTACATAGGCACCAGTGTCTGGTTCACTTTCTCCTGGGCATCCACTGCCCACCTGAGTGATCTAAAGGTACCTACCTACCCAGTGAGAGACAGTGCATGGCATAGCCCTGGCACAGATCCTAACAGTAAGGTCTTTTAAACAGGTTCCAAGTGGCCACCTTGGGAGGAGATGGCCAGTCTTTCCCTGGCAAAGGGCTGGACTGAAGAGCCATTGTGAGGGTTAGATCCAGGCAGCTTTCTGGAGGGAATGGTATTAGCTCCTGAGAACTCAGAGGAGCCAGCTTCCTTCATTAGTGAGCACTTATTATGTTCTAACTCTGTGTGGGAAAGATTCTGTAGACTGTTGATCTGAGCCCTAGAGCACATGCCCAACACAGGAAACAGCAAGTGCCGTAATCCACATAAAAACGAAATAAATAGGCCAGGCAGTGGTGGCGCACACCTTTAATCCCAGCACTCGGGAGGCAGAGGCAGGCGGATCTCTGTGAGTTCGAGGCCGGGCTGGACCGACAGCCTCCAAAACAATACAGAGAAACCCTGTCTCGTAAAAACCAAAAAAAAAAAAAAAAAAACAAAAAACCAAAAACCAAAAAACAAAAATAAATAAATAAATAAATACATATTTGGCCATCTGGAAATGTGGAGAGTAATGGATTCAATGAGCCTGGAAATGCACTACACAGTCTGCTGCAAACCCTGCTTTCATTGCCCATGTGGAAAAGCCTCAGTCCATCTCCCCAGCGATAGTCTCATTAGCCAACGCATCGTGGGAGTCAGGGGAGTGAAGATGTACAATTACCACGTAAGCGCTGGCAGGTGCCATTTCTGCAGTTTGATGAGGCTGGGTTTTCCATGCACCCCCAGACATTCATAGGCAGTGTGTTTCTAGTCCCTCGTGTCACAGATGGCGCAGAATATCTCAATACACCTGCTTCTACTTGTTGTGAGCTTACAGCCTCCCCAGCAAAACCTCCCAATCCTTCATTCATAACTTCCATCCCCAACCAGGCCTGGGGAGGTGTGAACACATTTCCCTCAACGCTCAGGCCTTCAGGCAAAACTACGTCTTTCTTCCAGTGAGAGGCCGAAGCAACAAAGTGCCATTGTTCAGGCTCTTCATACTGCGAGCTTTCTCACACGGTGGCATTTATACAGAGTCTGAGGCAAGCCGAGGCGCTAGGAGGCCGGCGCGCGCCCTTGTTTTGTTTAGTTGGACACAGGGTCTCGCTGTCTAGTCCAGGCTGGCCTTGAATTTGTGACCCTTCCACCTCAGAGGAGCTGAGAACGCTAGGCTTGCACGTGGGAGACACCTCATCCTGCAAGTGCACGTGTTTGAAGATCAGAGACAGTCAACACAGTAACTGGTGAGGATGTGGGTGTAGGGGCTGGGGAGACAGCCCTGTCAGGGCAGTGCTTGCCATGCAGGCCTGAAGACCTAAGTTTAATATCCAGCATCCATGTCAACATGGGGTGGGGTGCATGCCTGTCATCCTGGAACTGGGTAATGGGGGTCCTGGAGCTTGCTGAGTAACCAGTGCAGCTTACTTAGAGGTTCAGAATATATGGGAGGGAAAATAGAGGTGGGCACCCCAGCATTGACCTTAGGCATGCACGCATGCCCATAAACACAAACATGCACACACAGACTAGAACGTACCAGCTGAAGAGAGATTATTCACGCTTTCAAATCCCATTACAGGGAGGGAGGCAGTGGAGAGAGAGTGAGATGGGGAGGGGGAAATCACGGGACATGGGGTGGGTGACGATGACGGCAGACAAGGGACAGGGATGATGGGGACCACGGACGATCAGAGAAGTCAAGTTAACTCATGGGGTCTTTCATTTCCGTGGGACCAAATGGTGCAGTCCGTGGCTGCTTGGGCCCAAATGCTTCACAGAACATCTTAGCAGAGGGAGTGTGCTTGTGTGTGTTTAGGATTCCCCCCAAGGGCCTTCTGTAGTCACCTCTCACCTCCCAACATTCCTTTCAAAATACCCTCACCAGCTGGGGGAACCAAGTCTTCAAAGCACTTGCCTGTGGGGACATTGCATGCTACCAATCAGCCATACTCACAGGCTTCGTTCACGTTTGCACGTTTGACATAGACTTAAGACATGAACTTCCAGGAGCTACCAAAGGGAGTGTGGAGACAATAGGTCATGGGGGGCGTTCGCAGAGAAAGAACTGAAATGTTGTGGCCTTTGTGTCCCATATGTGCACCAAGCTTCAGTTTCGGGACATGCAGGTTGAGGACTCTGCTTCATCCATCGTTGCATCTAGGTGTTAGGGTGAAAAGATGATTCTTGTCCTCTGGCTCAGTCATTATATTAAAGCACTCACAGGCAGAATCATCAAGCATGTTTTGGCAAGCCCAGAGGCTCTCATGTACATGGCGGGACTCCATCCCAGGGTCCCAAATACTCCTGGCTAACAGGATCAGGCTATTTCACGCCTTTCTTTCTAGCTGCCGGTACTTGTTTTTTTATACTATTGAAACAGGGGTCCACCTTCAGGCGGCCTCTTAGCATCCTTGTTTTCCTCCAGGGCACCCCCACACTGAGCCGACCTGGACCATCTGCTATCGCTCTTGGGGGCTGCCCTCCTGGTCTTGGTGCACTAACATTGAGGCACCTCTGGACGACAGGGGGCGCAGGCATGCAAACTGGCTTTCCCTCCCGCGCCCGCGCTTAGTGCGCGCTCGCGCCCCGCCGACCCCGCGCGCAGTTCTCGGGGCGCAGGGCGGGGAGACATAAAGGGCGCTGCGCTGCGGGGCGGGCAGCGCGCGCGGGAGGCTGACGGGGCAGCGGCACCCGCGAGCCGGCACCGGGCGGGGCCATCGCAGCCGCGCGCAACGAGGCCGAGCGGGAGCCCAGACCGCGCGGGACCAGGTGGGTGACGCGCGCGTCCCCTTTGTGTCGGCATCGCCCGAGCGGGCGGGCCGCGCGGGACGGGGCTGTGCGAGACTGATATCGGTCCCCTAGCCCCTGCTGCCAGGCGGTGACCCGCGACGTTGGGGGCTCTGCTCCCGGAGTCTCCTCCGGTGGCGCCCGAGTCCCCCTGGCACTTGGGGATTGTGCGCCGCGGGGCAGTCTCCAGCCGCAGGCGCGGGGTACCCTGGGTTGGAGTAGCCCCGGTGGACTGCCGTCTGCAGGCCTTGGGTGGACTCCCGCCGTGACCTGGTGGTGGGCAGAGTGAGGGCGTGGGGAAGGTCGGGTCGGTTCCGGCCGGCGGCAGTGACCAGTACCCCGCAGTGCTCAGCTGCGTCTGTCCGTGGGCACCGTCCTCTGCTGGCCTCTGTCCCAGGAGTGGCTGTGTCCCTTGCGCCCCGCCCGCCTAGGATGTCCCCCTGAGGTCTCCCACATCCCGCGCTCCGCAGCGCTCCCGGTTTTCTACACCATCTGTGGAGCTCAGAGATTTAATTGCTCTTGCTAAGGAGAGGCTTCCTGGCCCTAGGGCGGGAAGAGGCGACGTCTTCACCCTAGGCGGGCCTCGGGTGGTCTTTCCTAAAGTTTACTCTAGCTCTCCGTTGGTCTCTTTTTCAGAGAACATTTAAAAGGATGCTTATTTTGAACCGCTATCTACACCCTGCGTGGTGATGCGGGGTCAAAGGCCAGGTAACAAGGAGAGCAGGACAAGGCCCTGGAAACCTTTCCCAGGGTTCCTGTGACCTAGGGTGGAAGGACAATTCAGGCTTGCTTAGGACGGTTTTAAGAAGGCAATGTCTTCCAGGAGTGGTGTCTGGAAGACAGAATAGACCCTTCTTAATGATGCTGGCCAGGGTGAGAGTTTAGACCGCTAAGAGATGTGTGTAAATACAACTCCGGAGGGAAGGCAAGGTGGTCACGGTGCCCCGAGATGAGAGGGCAGAGACAAGGGCCTTTCTAAAACAGGGGCATGGAGTCCCACACGGGGGATACAGCCAGAGTGGTAGGAAAGGCCCCAGCAAAGGAAGGCACAGTGTGAAGGGCCTTTTCTACCCGGCTACCCCCTTGGTTCCCCAGGAGCCCCAAGACTTGCTCAGTATGCCTTCGACAGTGATACCAGAGGTCCGGAGTACTTTTTCTAGTTTCTTCCACAGTTTTGCTTCCATGACATTTGAAGGACTGCTCTGGAAGTATGTCTACAGGGGGTTTTGAATTCAGGCTAAGACTCTGGACTTGCCTTTGTGGAATGGGAGCCCTGGGTGGTCTTGCGAGGGAACAACAGACAGTGCCCACTTTGCTTCAGAGTGGTTATAGCTGCGTTGAAGAGGGAGGACCTGTGTGTGGCCAGGATCTATCCCAGGTGCATGAGCTGGCTTTATGGAGCCCATTCCCCTGGTGGAATGCCTTGCTCAACTCTGATGCTGGGGGGGAGGGGCTTGGTCCTGCCTTGATTTGATAAGCTAGGCTTTGTTGACTCCCCATGGGAGGTGTGGATGGGGTGGGGTGGGGGTGCGGGAGGAGGGGAGAGAACTCTGGTTGGTATGTAAAATGGATAAGAACTTAAAAAAAAAAGAGACCTGGGCTGGAGTCCCTTGTGTCCCTTACACCCCTATTTCCCTGAAATCTCCTGGGAAAATGGGCGCATGTAACTCAGAATAGAAGGGACATTTTTCAGACCCAACACTATTTAAATAGTGGAATAAGCGTTTCCATGTGAACACTTCTTTTTAGTTTTTACTAGTGAGTTTTCGTCAGCTCTCTAGCTCAGGCTGGCCCCAAGTAGCTGAAGGGGCCTGAACTTCTCCAGTTTGCACCACTGGAGTACAGGGAGTTAATGGAACAGGCCACTATACTCAGTTTACATAGTATTGAGGTTCGAAACCAAGGTCTTGTGAATGTGAATGCTAGGCAAATACTCAGACCGCCCCGGGAGTTCATGTTTCTAAAGATGTCCTCATGTCGATAGTCCCCACCCCCATGGAGGGGAACTGCAGAAGGATAAACTCAGAGGGATGAAGCCGGAGTCCACAGACCACAAACCAGTGAGAGCCCTGGAAGGTCATGTGCACGTGTGTTCTAGGAGCATCTTTCAAAACTCCGTGTGCAAGTTTGCAGTCTGTTCCTAGATGACGTGGCTTCTCCTGGGGCCTTATTGTGGCTTGGGACTTGGAAAAGAAATCACGCACTGTGTTGCAGAAGCTGCCATGTTCAGGGCTAATGTACCGTTCGCTCCCCGCGGTAGGGCCCTACGCCAGGAGCCACGTTGCCTGACTGAGAAGGCTGTTTTTTCCACTGTGGTTCCTCACTTGGCCTTACTACCTCCTTTTGTTCAAATATCTCCTCTTGAAGGCCACTTTCAATGGTGGCAGAGAGAACTGGCAGAAACCTGTCGAGTTACAGTTAGAGATGGGTCCTCGGTCCTCCTGTATGACCATGAGGGCACCGTGGCTGGAGAGGAGCAGACAGGTGCCCTGGCTACGTGGGACTGTGGTGGATCAGGTTTGGAATTAGCTCTTCTGAGTGTCTATGTTTTTTTTTTCTCTTACTGGAGTAGGACAGGGATGTGTTTGCTCTCCTGGGAGTCACGATCTTCAGCTATTTGGGAGGATGCTCCTCTGACCCAGCAGTACCTCTAGCCCTCTGGGATGTTTCCAAATTGAGACTGATTTAGAGGCTGTGTGGAGTGAAGGTAGACTGTCACATTTCTGCTGGGTCTTTGTGGAAGGTGCCCTTCCTTCCTTCTAGGCTACAGAATTTATTTGAGGCTAGCTTCCTTCTTTTGCTTTCCAATTGAAGATACACATGGCTACTTTTTCTTAATTAGCTGGAGACATTAATTGAAGCCACTGTTCACATGTCTGGAGGGCATTTGTTCCCCACAGTGTTCCCACTCAGCTGTCCTTGGCAAGTGTCTGCTTGCCTGGTTTGCCCCAGTTTCTGCAGGATAGCCCTAAAATGTTGGCCCAAGTGTTCTCCTAGGTCCAGTAGCAAAGTTGCGATTCTCCGGTAGTATTTTCTGGAAGAATCGATGCTAAAGAATGACCTACAGATGCAACCATTTGTGTAGACAAGGAAAAGGTCTATTTTCACTCTCTGAAGGGTGGCTCTTCTCCAAGGCTTCCTGGTGAGAAGTAAGCCAGTGAAGCTAAAAGGACCTCCTAGCTATTCAGCAGCACTGGGGAATGTTTGCCCCCCCCCAGAGCAGTAGTTCTCAACCTGTGGGTCACGACCCCCCTGGGGGTGGAATGACTGTTCTGCATCACCTCTGTGAATCATCCGATATTTACATTATGATTCGTAGCAGTAGCAAAATTATATTTATGAAGTGGTGATAAAGTAGCTTTATGGTTGCGGGTCAGCCCAGCATGAGGAGCTGTATTAAAGGGTCGCAACTCGAAGAAGGTTGAGAACCACTGCCCTAGACTAGAGTGAGTTTGCACACTGGATGCAGCATTCTGGGGAAGAGTCAGCTCCCTGCTGACACAAAGTCACATGCTTGATTGTGCACTCTATGTCTGATGCTGGCAGGAGAGGAGACAGGAGTAATGCTCATTAAGCCTTGGTCATGTGCAGGCATTAAGCTCTCACAGCCACAGGACAGGTTCATGGTCTACTTCCACCTGATGAGGGCAGGCATAGTCCAGGGTCTCATGGGATACATGCGGAAGTCGGGCTTTGACCTCAGAGGGATCTACAGAAAGCGGAGAGGGTGTGGCCTTGATCTACAGTGTAGAGAGCTGGAAGCAATGACAGCAGGTTGACTTTGAGGTGGGGTCTACAGTGTGGGAGATGGGCAGAGTGCAGTGGGCCCCATGGGAGGCGACTGCTCAGCCACAGTTTGGAGCCTGCTTGCAGGGACCAGCAGGCGGTTAGCTGGGGAGATTAGAGGGCCAATGTCAAAATCAGGACCTGAAATAGCAAGAACCGCCTTGAGATGGGTAGGGGCCAAGAAGAAACTCAGAGTTGCTGTGATCATCCGGTGGCATCAGCATGTTGGGGGATGCGACAGTGACAGCTCTCCCAACCAGGCTTCTCACTTGTCTCACTGTGCATTCACTTCTGGTATTTTCTGGAAGGTCCCTCAGTGTCTTTTGTTGCCATTTGTATGGGGGGGACCTGTCTCCTTTAGGATTCTTCCATTTACTCCTGCCCAGCTGCCTTATGGTAGAGGTCCGAGTTCAGAGCAGGTTAGTGCGAGTAGCACAATGGTGTGGTTGTCACAGAGACGTGAGTGGCCTGAGAAGGCTTCCACGGGCTGCAGCAGCTCCTGTGGGTGTTGAGAGCTTCCCCGCAGGCCTAATGTGGGAGGCTATGGCAGCATGGGCTGTGGTGTCGTCTTGGGCCTCCCGACTTTCCACCAGTGGTGGGTGTCTTAGTTGTGTGGGATGAGAGTCCATGGTGCCTGGCGGCAAGCGGCAGGCGTGATGGCCAGAGGAGGAAGCTCACATCCTCAATGGTGAGCAGAAAAGAAAGTGTCGTGAGGCTTTAAGCCACCAAAGCCCCTTCTATGGATGATGACATACTTCCTCCTAAATGGCTCCAGACAGCTCCAGGGACTGAGGAGCAACTGCCCAGACGCCTGAGCCTGTGGAGGACGTTCTCATTCCAACCGCCACAGGATGGCAACTAGGAACGGTCTCAGAGTCTGGTGGGAATGGGTTGGCCAGCTCAGCTGGGCTGTTGAAATCTGACTGAGGGATGCAAGCATTTCCTACAGCATTGTGTTTCTGGGCTTTGTTGACTCCCCACGGGAGGAGTGGATGGGGTAGACTTTCAAAGAAGCTCTTCACACCGTCTCTGGATCAGGGCGGTTTGGGGGTGGGAGTGGGCCTTGAGGAAGGAACTGTGTGACAGATACATAGAACTAGGATGTCCCCTGGCCACCTACGAACTGGCCAGACAGCCCCATCTCAGATTGTCACCTGGCCAGTGGCCTGGGAGGCTGACAAGTTCTGTTTACCTCC